TTACTTTTTTTCTGGATCTCTATTTATTGGATCTTTCTGGATTTTTTCTGGATCTTTTTTCTGGATCTTTATTTATACTAATCTACACAAAAAAAAACACAATATGAAAAGTATAAGAATAATAATTTTCTAACAATAATAACAATAATAATAAATCATAATCATAAATATAATAATTTCCTCTCAAAGAATCTAATGGTGAATGTGACGCAAGCTAAATGGTGAATGTGACGCATTTTCTATTATAAACTGTCGTAACATTGCCTCCAATTTATCTACTTTTGATCAGATTTTGAATATCAAAAGAAATTCAAGATATCCAAAATCATATAAGATACTAAAAAAATACAAAAAAGTAAAGTGATTGAGATAAAGACTAGAGACAAGGCTAAGGGAGCTGGTTCAAACAGCGCCGGCCAAAATAATTCGCTTGCAGTTAGGTTTATTTGTGTTTCTTATTTTCATTGAATGTAGAACAAAAAAATTAGCTATCTGCTGTATCTTTTGGAGCCGTTTAGAACAAATCTGGGCTGAGAAAATGCCAAAAAAAACGAAAAGGGCGCAAAAAGAGGTTAACTTTGAGCTTTTCTCGACACCATTTTTGTTTTAAGTGATCCCAAAGTATGCAAAATGTAGATAAAATGTAGATAATTTTATTCTGCATCCAATAAGAATAAGAAACACATGGAAAATTAACCGTGGAGGGGATATTTTTGCCGTGGTGGTGTTTTGACCAGCTCCCGAGGCTAGGCTAGTTTTCGAAAGTTGGAGCCGTTACATTTGCACTTTCTAATCCTCATCGTCTGCGGATCGGATTTTACGTTTTAGGAAATAAGTTCTGCTTGCTAAATGGTGAATGTGACGAGAAATTAATGTTTAAGCTCAAAACAGAACTTGTTTAGCAGACAGAACTTGTTTCCTAAAACGTGCCATCCGGTTCCTATTTCTTTTGTTAAAAGTTCTATTTAGTTTATTCTTGAGATTCTCCAAGAGCATGCATGCAAAACAGTTCGTCAAATATTGTATTTAAGTATAGAATAACGACTTTGCTTTAAGAAGTCTAGAAGAAAAAAAAATGTGAAAAACTTTACCTCCATATCTTCTTTTGTTTCACTTTGAGTCCCATAAAATTTTATCGTTTTCTCGAAAGAGAAAAGAAAAGAAAATTAGTTTTTTTTTTTTCCTTTAGAAGTTTTGTTATTATTTTGCTAGAAAATCCTTTTCTTATTTCATTCTTCGTGAATGTGTTGTCCAATTTGTTCTCAATTCTTTGCGTGTTCGGTCGACATTTCGAATTCATTACATCAAATAGACAAAGAAAGAAAAACACACACACACACAAGAACAATGCAATTTTGTCAAATTACTCTTTTCGTAAAGAAATTTATACAAAAACCATAATTCTATCTGATTTCACAAAATATTTTAACACGTTGACGACATTGTCACCTGATGCTGTCGACATTGTCACCTGATGTTGTCGACATTGTCACCTGATGTTGTCGACATTGTCACCTGATGTTGTCGACATTGTCACCTGATGCAAAATATTCGTTCGCCTGGGACATTGTCACCTGGTGTCAGGTGACGTTTTTTGTCGAAAAAAAAACAACGTTGTCCCATGCGATTGTTTGTGCAAAAACGCCATTGTCGTCAACGTGTTAAAGAAAATCTGTCCAAATTTTGTATTTTCCACCTTTCTGTACGCAAATTCCCCAAAAATAGCTAAACAAAAATAGCTAAAAATAGCTAATCTCAATGCAAAACAAATATTCGAAAGGAAATTATAAACGGAAATTTTCTTCTCGAAAAATTGATGGGTGTTGGCTCTTCTTGTCGAAAAATGGACACTTTAAAGAATCAGGCTAAAATTTCTTAATTTCTTAATTACCAAGAATTTTTCAAACCCATTTTCTGTAGAGAATTTCGGAATTAAACAAGCTTTAGGGCTATTTTCTCAATCGTTTAGCCCAGCTGAATGGTTAGTTTTCAAAATCCAAGAATCCAATCCTCTAAATTTCTCCAAAAATTATTTTTAACAGCCAATTGTATTTCTAATTTGCTCAAATGTATTCTATTGCGTGATTTTGTATTTGAAAATCTCTCTACTTCTCCATTTTTCTACTCTTGGCTAATCTTTGGCATTATATTGCTTGCTTTGGCATCATCTTGCTTGCTTTGGCATCATCTTGCTTGCTTTGGCATCATGTTTCTGTTTTTGATTAATACCCAAATCTTGGTTGAATCTATAATAATATTGGAAATGAATGCTTTCAAAAGAAATTTCAGGATTCTTTAAAACGATGACCTTCCGCCTCTGGTTATCTCTATTATTTCTTCAACTCTTGAGCGTTTTCGTGTTATCCTGGCCACTTCTCGAGCCTGAATATGAAGATTTCATTTCATCAAAGGTAAAGAAAAAGAGTATTGAAAGTAAAAACGAAACAAAGCACATCTGTGCCTAATTACTGTCGAGTAAATAAGCGTTTTCTAAAATGTGTCAAATTCCGAAAAGCACCAATTTTTATCCAATCTATCCACTTTTGCATTTTTAAAATCATTAGCAAATCCTAAAATAATCAAAAATAAATATACTAAATAAAACTATAGGCAAGGTTACGTAGTTTTTAGAAAATTGACAGAAAGGTTAGAAACGCTTTACATACAAAGTAATTCCTTTACGAATTGTAAGCAATGAGATTGAAAGCCGTGCAAAAGAGTCACTCTAACTTGATCGATGAGAAAATCTTTTAAAAATCTGTCTAAAAATCTGTCTAAAAATCCGAATTTTAGTCTCGACGATCGCCATTCGATGGAGAAGAAGATCAACCGATGAAATACGCGCGACTTCTCAAACATCTTAAACCAAGATTCGGCTAAGTCAACAATTCGCATGTTTTAACCAATTTCTTGATCTCATTTTTCACACTCACAGTAACAATGAATAAACTTTTACTATGTTTTTTGATTTGAAGACAAAGGATGAAGAAGTACAACATTTCAACAAAACCTTTTATTTTTGGTGAAAAAGTAGAAGAGTGATAGCTTTCAGGCGGTGAGAGTCAATAATGTCGATGGAATCAGAATGAAATTGAAAATGAAATAGAGAATCGATAATAGAATTTCCTTTGAGATAAACATTTCAACAAAACCTTTTATTTTTGGTGAAAAAAGTTCACAGTAGAACTTTTACATTTGACTTTCAAAGCAAAATTGTTATTGTTGCTGTTGATGATTAGCTTTTTGTTGATGTTGCTGTTGATGATTAGCTTTTTGTTGCTGTTGCTGTTGCTGTTTATATTGTTGCTGTTGATGATTAGCTTTTTCAATTAATCTGCAAATTCTTTTTGTAATTGCTGTTCGATAAGATTTTTTTGCAGTAATGACGATGAAACTCGTAAAGTTTTGATGAAATGAAAAGAAAAGAGGCAGGAGTCCGCCAGCTGTAATGGAATGTTTCAATTTTAAACGTTAACTTAATAATTTAATTAATTGAAAGTCGTCTTTGGTCATTATTTTTTCGAATATTTAAATTAAAAGGGCCAGTACTTTTCGTTTAGCCCAGCGCTAAGCTCAATCAGGGGATGGACTCAAGCCCGTATCCAAAAAAAAACTTTTTAAAATGTAAAGTTTTAAGTACATACATATTTAGTTACGTTTTTCATTGGTTACATATTTAGTTACGTTTTTCATTGGTTCTACAGTCGAAAGTTCATTATTAACCGTTCTACAAAAACTCGTAGTTAGTTTTTGTTTTTCTCTAGTTATCTAGGTCTAGTTTTTGATCGAGTTTTTTTAATTTGTAAGCCATTCTTATTTTTTTATTCTAATCTATAGGTTCTTCATGCATTTTGAAAAGCGGAAAGTGGACCATTACATATTACACATAAATTGCTGCTCGAATTTTTTTTATAATAAAGCCTCTTTAAAGCGTTTCACCAAATTGTGGATTAAATGTGCAAAGTAAAATATTCGAAAAGTAAGGCAAAATATTTTAAAGATGTTAATTTTATCGTGGTAAATTCATATGAATTAGCTCCAGCACCGTCTGCAACAAAAAAATTGGGGGTAGGCTACCTTGCGTCAAACTTTTTGCGCAACTGGGTCGTTTGCGCAACTCGCCATAACTTTCTTCTAAGTGAACCAATCTTTATGATTTTGGTTTCATTTTGTAGATCTCAATAAGTACAACAAAATGAAACCACAAATCATAAAGATTGGCCGACCTCGAAGAAAGTTATGGCGAGTTGCGCAAATGACCCAGTTGCTCAAATGACCCAGTTGCGCAATGATCCTGTTGCGCAAAAAATTTGGCGCAAGTAGCCTACCCCAAAAATTGCGTTTTATCAGTTAATGCTAATGCTAGCAGCGTATCGTTCTTTCGAAAAATGAACAAAAGAAATGGAAAACTACTTCCAGCACTAGCAATTGTTTTACATTTGGATCAGCAGAGTTGATTCTTTTAATCACGCTTGCTTCAACGATTCTACCGCTTATTTTCAATCTCCACGCTTTAGAATGCTTCTTCTAATTTAAGTGTTTGCAATAATTAAAGAAAAAAAACTACTTTTAAATGTTTCCTCATAGAAGTGGTGGCAGTTGGGGTAAACTGAGGTGTGCATTCTTTTGCACATAGATAGCAGTTGGCAAAAAGCTTGTCATTCTCTTTGTGTTTGGTCATGAATTGCCATACAAGAGATGGCATACCCAGCTTTCTACTTTGTGTTCCAGGGTTCTTAAGAGAATTTATGAGCATTAGTCTACTTACGATAAAATTTCACTGCATTCATCAAGCTATTACTCCTTTGCTGTCTATGCTATACCTGCCGTAATTCTTTCATTTCACACTAAATAATTGTCTCACCGTATTTTCTGTTGAGTGTGTACGCGACGCTCCTTTACACAAAGCTTCTTTGTAATTGAATGGCCTTTTCATTTTATTCAAACCTCCTTGTTATAGTTTCAAATTCTTTTACAAGTTAAAGTAAAGGACTGACATCATGGAAAATGTTCCCACTTTGGTATGCTTATACGTAAAACTATATTCATCTTATTTTAGGAAATTCCAAGCCAGCCAGAAGGACAATTAATTACGGTGAGACATTTATTTAATGTTTTGAATTTAAAATTTCTTTTAGATGATACTCGGTGAAGTGAAAAATGAACCGATTGAAACAATGGATACACAAGAGATCGTGATGAATCCAACAACGAGCAACGAAGCAGAAGCAGAAGCAGAAAATGTGAAACCTGAACCGGTAAGTCGTTTAGAGATACAAAATAACTAGCTCAATTCTCCTCATGCAATGGAGTGAACTAATCGTAAAGAAATTCTTTGCATTGACAAAGTAGACAGGATACTAGTTAAGCTTGTAAGCTCTTATAGGTCGAAAAAATAGATCGCTTAGATAAAAAGACAAGGTTTTTATTTTTGTTTTTGAAAGTAGACAATAAGCTCATTCTAATTATGACATCGATTATTCTTCCTAATTTAATATTTTTTTCAGATTCTGTACTGTATATGCAAGTCAGCCAACGCAGACAAATTCATGATCGCTTGCGAGAAATGCGACAAATGGTTTCACGCGAATTGTGTCAATGTGAGGATTTGCTTTTGAATTTTGTTACTAATAATCGTTGACAAGAATGTCGCATCGATTTTCTGAAAATTTTTGAGTTATTCTTTTAGATAACAAAACGAGAAGCGAACACCATTGAAGGGTATTTCTGTCCGCCTTGCATTGAGGCAAACAACGAATTGAAGATTATCTATAAACCGAAAGAGCAAGTGATCGACAAGAAACCCGATGAAAATGGTGAGTTATAATTTCTCAGATTCACTTCAAAATCTTTATTTTACAGAAATTCGTTGTGGCGGCGGCTGTATTGGATGTTTCAAAGCAGAGAATTGTTCATTGTGTGAATTGAGCAAACGCAAAAGGATGCCCACATTTCAAATGCATCCAGGCTCCAATTTTGAAGCAGGAATTGGAGGAAAAACAACAGAAAGGTACCGTTTTGTGTAGTAAAATCTATACAAAGAAATTTTGCAGCAAAAGTCGGCACCGAAAAGAAAAGGAGAGGACGAAAAAGGAAACAATTGGTTTGTTTGGAGATTTAGCTTACGAATTCCCGTTCTTTAGATCTCCGATGATTCGGATGATGAAGATTATTATGTAGAAGTGAAGCCGAAAATTGATTTTAAAGGTAACGAGTTGCTCGAGATCCAGTAATCATTCTACTAGGTTGAGTACTAAGTGTTGCACTCTTCATTTCATTATCTAACTAAACGAGTTTCAAACTACTAAATGCCAAACGGCTTTTTTTCATTATAAATCTTTCTCGTTTACTTTTTTGTCATCTTTTAAAAAAGTTTTAGTATTTTAGAATAATCTGCGAGAATGAAAACTGGTACTTTTAAAAATATGAAAAATGAGCACAAAAGAAAACCGCTAAGCGAATCATTCTGAAATTTTGACCTCCAAACCTTCAAAACAAAGCTTTTCAGAAACTTTCAGAAGTCATTTGCAAGAGAAATGATTGGGCTATCTAATGAAAAAAAAACCGTATTTCATTTGGTAGCTTGAGACCTATTCAATTAGAAAATGAATTTGGATGAAAGACTTGGTACTCAACCTAAGATAAAAGCTTTTTACATTCAGCTTGATGGATTATGGTAGTTTTAAAAGTTGGCAAGTTTTGGAATTTGAAAGGAATGCACGTTCAACCCATTCAATTTAGAAGTTCGCAATAAAGCTATCGAAGAGGCGCATCGAGAGCACGAGACGAGAAAGCAAAAAACGGTGAAACGGGCCGCAAAGCAGCGAGAGAACCATCACCGGTTCAATGTTTTGGTGGGTGTTATCTATCTAGGTTGATAAAATATCAATCTCGCCTGTTAAATTCTCGAAAGTCCAACAAATGCTAAATTGTTGAGGAGATTTGTAGCTTTCGATCACTAACAATCTTGGACACCACTTCAGTATGCTAAGAGTTTAACAAAATAGCAAATCTTAGCAACCCAATTAATAATTCTTCAATCTTAGGCCCAGAATGTATTCTCGCTGCACAAAAAGACAGTAAATATTGCTCGGAGGCGTGTGGGCTACGGAGAGCAGAGGTATTTTTTTGAAGAAAAAAAAGCTACCGTACTTGATCATGCAAAAATTTAGTCATAACAAACTTTTGGATTGCCTTTGATTGATTTTGATTTCAAAAAGTTGACACATTTTAGAAAACACTTTAACATCCGTAAGATTAACTATTGATGGCATAGGCTCGTCTGGATCTGTTGCCCGATCGCGCAAAGAAGTTCTGGGAGGCTCCACCATTGAACTATTTGAGAGCCGTGGAACAGGGAAAGAAAGTCGAAATTCAGGCATGCAATCAAAATACAATACTTATGATTTTGTTTTTAGACAAGAAAAGCTACTTTTTTTCAGATCGAAGAATGCATCAAGGAAAGCGAAAAGCTAGTCGAACGAATGGGACGAGTGCAAAAATGGGTTGAGGTAAAAATGGAAAAAAATTTATCAATTTCAAAGTGCTTTAGGTTGTGAAGAACATTGAACCAGTGGAAGATGAGGAAGAAGATGAGGGAGATGAAAGCGAGGTAAAGGGACTTGACTGGAAGTGTTGAACATTTAATTTTTTAGGCTGTTGTCACTTACAATTGCCCCGTTTGTGCCCTTGAATATACGGTGAAGCGTTTCCGAAACATGTCGAGCGTTGCTTCGTCCGATTGGAAAAACAGAGTGAAATCGGAAACAATGTTCAGGTGGGGGTTTCCGAAATTTCAACACTTGCAAAAATGATTTCAGATGGGCGACCGGAACCCATTCAATCTGTTTTGCGATGTCTACAACAAAACGAGTGACACGTATTGCAAACGATTGAGAGTGATGTGTGCAGAGCATTATAAAGGAGAATTGGAGAACGAGATGAAGGTACGTTAATCGTGTCCGTTTTCTAAAACGTGCCATCTTTCAAAAACTACCGTAATCGGCCTTTAGTTTTATGAAATACCTTGGCCTAGTTCCCTTGGGGGTTCACAAAAGACACAAAAAGTATGCCAGATAGAATGGATAAGATTATGGTAGTTTACGAATGTTTAACGTCTTAGAAAACAGAGCACTTTACAAGAACCAAGCTTGTAAAACCGAAAAAGGGGAAAATTTAATATCTTTTGCAAAACCCAACGAATAGGGCAGTGGCGCGCTGCGGCGGAAAAACGTAGCTGCCCCATTTGTTCGACTTTTTCTTTGATAATTAAAAGATATTCAAGTTTCCGCTTTATTCCGCCTGCAAGTCTGACCAGAACCTCTCATCAATAACTTCCCGTTATTCAGATCTGTGGCTATCCACTCGCTTGGGGCGATCTGACGAGCTCGTCGACAACTTTCTCAGAAGTATTTTTTTCCATTTTCAAACTTTCTATTTCTATTTCAAAGGCGTTTTCCATTTTGATGACATTGAGCGCACAATGGCAAACGGTTTTTGTCAACGAGCGAGAAGAGAATGTGGCACACATCACCGATGGTTGCAGGTGTCGGAAAGTGCTTGTGTAAAGAGTACCGTTGATTCAGAACACGCTCGGAGTCCCGGAATGTAAGCGCTTCAATGTTTTGACGCATTTGGACGAGCTTTGCGATCGAAAACGCTCAATTATGGGAGTGCTGAATACGATGGGCATATTTTGACTCTTTTTGGGCGGATCCAGTGTAGAGGTGAGGCTAGATCTTATACTTTACCGACTTCTTTGGGCTACTCTACTTTCAAAATTTCTTAGAAGTATCTCAAAAGCTTCAAACTAAACTGCTGTAACCTCTGACTCAAAATACGAAAGCACAATTAGGGTTCATCAACCGAAAGCCGAATTGCCTGTTGGATGGAAGTTCTGGTTAATCGTATCATCATTTGAATTTCCAGTAGTACACTATCTACTAATGATAAAATGTGAGAAAGATCTCAATATTTTCTAAAATGTGTCATCTTTTTATAGTACCGTAATCTTGGCTCTAGTTTATCAAATCTATCTACTTTTTTGTAGCTTTTTGTTCTTCGCTCTTCGTTTCTTTTGGTTCCACAAAGACATCGAAAGCTAGAAAAATAGATAGATTGGATGAAAGTTGAGCCAAGATTATGATAGAAGAATGGAAATCAAATATTTCCCGCTTTGATTTTCAACGTTTTTTTGGTTGCCTCAATTCCTTTCCACGTCTAAATCTCTTTTGTACACAAAACGTGGTCCCCACTCTTCCCCTTTCTCTCCATTTTCATCATTTAATTTTTCTTAGATAGAACGTTTTCCACGTGGATTTAAAAATTCATTTGTTTCCGATTAATAATTTTGATTCACTGCGTGTATGTCTTCTTACGGGTTATCTTGATATTATGAATAAAAATGTTTAAACAATTTTTGATTTTCAAAAAATGCTCTTTGTAGAAAAAATTTACAAGATTTATCAGCTTTTTCTTCATTTTTAAACAAATATTTGAAGTGCTAATTGTGCCATTTAGAATGGGGGAAGACTTTGCTGTTATTCGATGTTGATGGAACGCTGACTGCAGCAAGACGGGTAAGATATGCAAATTTTTACTGTTGGTCTTTTTAAATCATTAGCAAATGTGTCACACCACTGTATAAGAACATAACTTGCTTTTAAAACCAATTTTGCATTCAACTTCAACCTCAGCACATTTGAATTCTTGACCCCATTACAAAATCATGCTAAGTTTTTTGATATTCACAACTGTAAACCTGCAATAATCTCAGGCTCCTCGAATTTCCCTATATGATACTCTACAGATATTACTTCAACTAAGAGTTCTAAAGGCTCCCAAATTCAATTATAACCCAACTTGAACCCAAATTTATCCCTCAGGGGATCAATCCTGAAATGCGTAGCTTCTTGATGGACGTTCGAGCAAAAGGTGTCCCAATTGCAGGTCGTTGGTGGCTCTGATTTGAATAAGATTACCGAACAATTGGCCGATAGCGATCACGATAAGTGTAAGCTTTGAAATTAACACTTAATTTAGTTTAATGTTAGCTTTTAACAAATACCTAGTTTTTTTTCAGTAGTCAGCAGTTTTGACTATGTGTTCGCCGAAAATGGTGTCGTTGGATTTCACGGTAAAGATCAATACTCAACCAAGGTAGCTTTTTTTGTGGTAATTTATCTAATTATCCCATTTCAGCTGATCCAAGATCAAATGGGTGAGGAGAAACTCCAGGATTTGATCAATTTCGTTCTCGAGTACTTCTCGAAGCTGAGATTGCCACATAAGCGAGGGAATTTCCGTGGAGTTTCGGAAGGTTGATTTGAAATAATGAAAACTGTACTGTAGTTAGGCCATGAAAAGAATTCCGGAGGGGATGCTGGAAAAATAGACAAGCATTACGCTAATTCAACTAAATCCAGGTATGATCAATTTCTCACCAATCGGGAAGAAGCTGTTCGCACGAGGAAAGAGAACATTTTGTTGCCTACGATAAAGAGCATAAAGTTTGCCCAGTGTGATACTTGTGGACCAAACGAACTTAGATCCGCGAAACATTCGTGAAGATACTAGAGGGAAGAAATTCAGCAGTTATGGTCTCACATTGGCCATTGGTTAGCCAGTAAATAAACATCTAGCAACTGTTTTTAGGAGGCCAAATCTCGGTGGATGTTTACCTGAATGGATGGGATAAAACGTATTGCTTGCAATATTTGGAGAACGATTTCGAAACGAGTTCATTTCTTTGGCGATCGCACGATGCCTGTAAGTGAATGGCCCAATGCTCTTGCTAAAAGTTCCATTTGGTACTAATCTGCACTTTTTAAATAGAAGAAGAGAAACAGAAAGAGAAACAAAAACGGCTCTAGTCCGTTAAAGGAGGTTTTTAGAGTTAAAGGGAACTTTGAATGAGTACTCAGAAATTTACTACTGTTTGAGTGACACAAGGGAACGAAAAGAACGCAGAATTTGGTAGAAAAACAGTCAAATTCAAGGATTTTTCTTTTTCATTGTAGATGCTATAAAAGGATATTCAGCTGGGAATTTGTACCAGGGTTTTCGGGGTCGGGGAATCGATTAGGAATATTCATTTTATTGAGTCTATCAATTGGAACTCGAGTTTAATTAGTCTAACTTTTAGATAAATTCGGAAACATTAGCAGTTCTTGGAGAAGAGGTTACCATCCATCACACTATAATATTTTTAGGGTGGCAACGATCATGCAATCTATGTGGACAAAAGAGTGATCGGACACTCGGTGGAAGGACCGAATGATACAAAGAAACAGGTTGAAGAGGTAACTTGCCAAGTTTTCTGGAGAAAATCAATTTCTAGACTTTTTTAGACTTTAAACACTCTTCATTAACGATATCGGAAAGTATTCAATCTCAAATAGACCATTTTAAACCATGTCTTTCTATTGATAATCTGTGATTGCTTGATAGCTTTATTTTATTTATTTATTTATTTATGTATTTATTGGATTAAATCTCGCTTAAATGAGGTGTTGAAAGAGTGAAAAGCAGTGAGGGTAATCAAAAGGACAAAAGGAAATAGGGGAAAAGGGAAAAGAAAAGACTTCCAGGAGATCTCTGATGAGAGGAAAAGAAGGGGAAAGGAGAAAAGATCGCCTCTTGTTGTGGCACATTGTTTGTAAGGTTTGTTTTTTGAGGAGCTCTCTTGATTGTTTCAATCTCTTCATCTTCAGAAAGCGTGTCACAGTCAGCATTTAGGCCTGCTTTCCATTTTGGTCGTTGTGAGAAGTCTTCTTTTGTTAGTTATTGTTATTTGATTTTCTAAAAGGACACTCCTATATCGAGCTACAGTAACCAAGCTTTTACTGTAGCTACAGTAACCAAGCTCTACTGTAGCTATAGTAACCCCAATTACAGTATTCAGGCTTTAATTTTACCAAGAATTATTTTTAATGTCGTAAGAAGTTAATTGCAGATCATTGAATAGTCAGTGATATGCGATTTTGGCACCAATTTAGCCAATAAGTATCAGCATTAGAAGCCGATTACAGACTTAAGCCGTGCTTTTGGACAAACTTATGGAAAAAAAAGTTGGTTCTATACTGTCATTTAGGCTTCTTCTTGAATCACGGAGTGTGGTGATAAGAAGCGAAAAGAGAGCCCCACCCTTCTCTCACCAAAATGACTAACGAGGGGATTTTTCTTTCTTCTATTTCTTTTTCTGTTTCTCGTTTAACGCTCGAAATTAGCTCCTGTTTCTCTTCTGATTCTTTCTGTTATTCAATCTTATTTTTTTCTTCACTCCATCCCCTTAGTTTACAGAACAGTGATAGAGAAAGACCGAAATGGAAAATGGATGGCTTCCACCGATTCATTGCTACATGCTATTTATTTAATTGTATCTGCTTTCGGCTCAATATCCATATTCATGGACGAAAGGAGGCCTCAAATTGACTTGTAAAATAAACTCGACGAATGAAAGAGGTTAGAAAGTTGTGTTTTAGGAAACATTTTCGTGATTTTTGTGATTTTCTTTGCTAAAGAATGCAACTTTAAATCAACTCCTTTTTGACGTAAATTTGACAATTTATAAGGCTATAGCTGAAAATAATCAATTCTTTTTTACAATGCCAATGAGATGTTTCAATCGGATTTGAAGGCAAGCCAGCTCAGGCGCTCAAGGTTTAGAGCTAAACTCTCCCAGGGGGTTCAAGCCTTATCCAAGCACTTTTTTCTAGTTAGCCTTCTGGGGTGATTAATTAAGATATTTTTATGAACCAGGCTAACAATAAGTCAAAAATCATGCTCAGGTCAAGCTTTGAATGGAAGTAACCCGGAAAAATACAGCTACATTTCAGCTTGGAAACAAGTGGGCACTTCTTGTTATTTCGTCGATCCGACTCAACTCATCACTTTCAATTCGACGTAACCCTTTGTAAACGGTAATTGCTAGCAAAATAACCTGATATTTCTGTTTTCTAGAACAAACAATTCCTATCCAGCTCGTCTCGACACTCTATTTGGATTATTCGAGAGTTAAAAAGGCAAATCTCTGGCAAAGCGGTCAACTCTGGACGGGTTAGTTTTTAGTACCGTAAGACCTTGGACCCTACCTAAGCTGCCAGGTGGCTGACTGGTTAGCAGTCTTCAGTATCCTAGTCGGGTTCGATCCTCGGCTAGAAAATTCCGCTCTCTTTCATATATAGGCGGATTTTCTGCAAGATCTTTAGCGCGGTTGGGACAGTTGAGTTGTGTATTTGTTTATTTCACATTATTCATGTCGAATACTTTTTTCTTTACAGGCTATTACATGCCGGATCTCACTCTTTTGAATAGCCCCATCGAAAAGCGGAAATTTCTCGGCTTACAATCCGTCTTGGGCATTCAATCAGCCGCTTTGGAATGAAATCGAGAAATGTTTAGCGCTGGATATATCGTAGGAAATAGATATAGTAAAATAAAATAGGATTTTAGAAGCGAAAATTTGGAAGATATTGGATGGTCGCTACGGAAATTGCACGGATCGATTGCCTGTTTTATGTGAAACGTTCTCATGTCGACCGGGTGAGACTAAAAATTGAAAGAAATAAGAAATAAGGCCCTATCCTGGCGGCATGAGATACTTGCCGGTGTAGCTCATTGGTAGAGCGTTCGGCTGGTAAGCCGGACCCGTAACCTGTTGGTCGAGGGTTCAAATCCCGGCGCTAACCACCCCCAACCAATAAAAGGATTGTCCTCTATCGTAATCTTGTCCAACTTAAAGAACCATTAAAGTTATCATAATTGTAGATGAATGGAGATGTGTGGACAATTCTCGATGCATTCCCCAATCGGCTGTTCAAGATCAAATTAGGGATTGCGATGATGGAAGTGATGAAGAAGTTGGTGGATTGCCTAGTGCCATATTTTAAAATGTGTCAACTCTTGAGAAACTACCGTAATCCCTATATCTTTAGACTATCGATTTGGTTAGAGTGGATTCACTTGACTCATGGTTTGGCGAAGAAGGGAATCGATCATTCAGAAAATGTGAGTAATCAATAATTCGCTGATTATTGATTATTTTAAAAATGAAAATGACTGCTTAGATCCCCAAGAGACATGGCTTCGACAAAATGAAGGAGAGATTTCGATTGAATTCGATGGGAAACCAGGGGAAAGACGATGGAGAATCGAGAATTCGCAACGATTGGGAGTGATTCTTGTGGTGAGTGTGCCTGTAATGTAATTTAATTCGATGTTTTAGATAACCGGCCACCTCCCCGAGGACTCATTTCTAAACATTTCCTCGTGCAATTCCCTCTAATCCCGGTTGATCAATCAATCCTTCCACTTGTCGCATCATTCGCCGATCCTTGTATCACGATTTCTTTAATCTCTTCAAATATTCGATCTTCTGATTCATTGCATATCAAATATTACAAAGGTAGGTTTGGATTGAAGAGTGCTTTTAGAAAAGATCGACTTTTCTTGTTCTAGCCTGACTGCAAAACTTACACTTTGCAATCGATAAAAACTCCTTGAACCTCGCTTCCGGCCTGGCCTGGTTCAGGGAATCGGGAATCATTTCATTTTGTGGATTGAATCCAGTATAATGTTTCCTTGAATTACAGGTTGTCCCTCATCAATCTCATCTCCATTCGCAACTCTTTTCTTTGACTGGTCCTTTTTCTTCTTCATCTCCATCTCCATCTCCATCTCAACAATTTCCATATCAATCAACGTATTTATCGCGAAATCTTCTCACTTTCGCTTTTCACATTAAACCATTTGATCTTAAACCAATCACAATGCTTTTCGACGAATTGATTCTCGATGATGTGTCTGTTTTAACGGTTAGTTTTAAACAGTGTTTACCTTTAAAAAAGTAAAGTGCGCAAAAGTAAGAAAAAAAAATAGCTAAAGTTGCAAAAAAAAATTATTTTTACGCAAAAATGCGGATTACGGTATTTAGTGCATTTTAGGGGATAGGCTACTTTGCGCCAAATTTTTTGCGCAACCGTCATTTGCTCAACTAGGTCTTTTGTCGCACCACCATAACTTTCTTCCTGAGTAACCCAATCTTTATGATTTTGGTGTCATTTTGTATATCTCGATAAGTGTAAAAAATGAAACCACAAATCATAAAGATTGGCCGACTTCGAAGAAAGTTATGGCGAGTTGCGCAAATGACCCAGTTGCGCAAAAAATTTGGCGCAAAGTAAGGCTACTCATTTTAATGCGCGATCCCAAACATCCCCATTTTAGTGCGCGATCCGAAAATGTTTTCTCGGAAAATGCTTGCCAGTTTAGAAAAAGAAAACTCCGGTAATTTCAAAAGATTTCATAGAATATTTGTCTTAAACCTTTATCCTTTAGATTTCCTCTCCTCAAAACACGAAAACAATCACCAAATCGTGTCTTCCACTTTGTGCATCCGATTTCTATTTCACGTCGTTTCCCGTCAAAGTTTTCCTTTCATCTGCATCTGGGAGATTTGTAGCGAAAATTCGGTATTCACAAGGTGAGAAATTTTGATAAAAATTTTTAATAAAAATTTCTCTCAAGCTCTCAGCTCCAAATTTACTCATTTCTTTACAGATTGCTCAACAATTCCTTTTGATTCAAAAATGATACTTCGCTCATCGAATCAATCCCTCAAATTGGGCACACAAATGAAAGGCGAATGTCCGAATGGGATTTTGAGTGGAAATTCGATAATCGAATGTTTATTTGGAGGCATTTGGTCAAATGAGCTTGGGAATTGTCTAGGTAAAGCAAGAAAAAGTTATTGAAAGTGTTTAAATTTTAGAAGGAGCTCCCTTTTGTCCTTTACCAGGCGTGAGGAATGGATATCCTGTCGAATATGATGGCAATCGATTGCTAGTGCAAGTAAAGCTTTTTGTGTCAACTTTTTTGAAAAAAACTATTTATAACTTTAACTCGAGTTTTATCTAGTAATTGTAGTGTCGAGCTCGTTTCGCTGGCGCTGATGGAGCGGCTAGTTTCACTTCAAATTGCGATGGCCGATACTGGACTCCAAATCCAACTTGTTTACCTGGTAAAACAGAAATTTAATAGAAACGAGGAAAGAGATTTCAGTTAACTGTAGCACTCCGGAAAGCTTGTACAACGAGGCGACGCTGAAGAATTCGAGCAATTACTGGAGAGCATTTGATGTGGTTCGTTTCTGTAAACTTACAAGGAAGGGGTAACTATTTGAGCCAGCGAGATGCTATGCGATCTATAACATTCGACGCTGAGTTTTATGCCAATTCGAATATATATTCCGTTTTTGCTAAATGATAATCTGTCAGGAGTTATAAGCGTATAAAGTTTGTTAGGAAAATGTGTCTTTTGGGTCTTAGGGGCCTTCTTGCGGAAGCTATCTCGTTGCAGCTGTAGCCAATTGGTAGTAGCTTCTGCTTCAGAGCGACACCTCACGAGTTCGATCCCCGCTTTGGATTTTTCTTTCACCTTTGTCAAGAAGTGCTGAGTAGTGTTCTTTGTGTGATATAAAGTTATGTTTTTTATAAAAGTGTGACAACAAAAAATATAGTGTGCGCAAGAAAAAAGAACACTAGTCAGCACTTCTTGAAGAAGGTGAAAGAAAACCGAAGCGGGATCGAACTCGTGAGGTGTCGCTCTGGAGAACGCTCTACCACTTGGCTACGGCTCAATCGAAATGGGCTCCGCAAGAAGGCCCCTAAGACCCAAAAGACCACATTTTCAGTAACAAAACTTTAGACGCTTATGCTTCCTGACAGAATCAAAACGGAATATATATTCGGAATTGGCATAAAATTCAGCGTCGAATGGTATAGATCGCATAGCATTTCGTTGGCTCAACCAGTTACCCTTCCCTTGTTAGTTAATATTTTAAATTCGTTTACAAACAAAAAGTTAAACTTTGAAAATTCGATGTTTAAAACCCGATTCACGGCCAGATGAAGGCCCAACAAGAAGGCCAGAAGCTTCATTTCTTTACTTTTAACTTCTTTAAAGTCTTCTAAAAAAAGATTCTGTTATTTAGGCTCAATATTTGATCGAAGACTCGATCTCTCAAAATCCCTTTCGTCAATGTTCCCGTGCTGGCACATGGAATGATTTCAATTTCCAGAAAGGTATCCAGAAATATCAAGAAAGCTTTAAATCTTTATCTATAAAATCTAGTGTTACGATGTCCTGGAAAAGTGATTCCATTCGGTTCTCTTCGATCCTCAAATGTCGGTGAATCGATATTGGCTGATTGTGTTCAAGGGTTTCATCCAAATCAACAAGTTCTATGTATGAATGATGGAAAGTATCAAGATTTTCCGGATTTATGCATCGGTAGAAAACCAAGAAATCAACTAAATCAATTTCAATTCAATCTTTTTTAGAAGCACAATATTCACCTGAATTGTGCGGTGATGGGGAAATTATGGAAAGAGCAGGGTATCCGGGTGGATACACATGCAATTGCCCACTGAAACAACAATTCAACGGGACAACGTGCATTGGTTTGTAGAGAACAATTTGAAAGTATCTGTTAGATCGTATTTTTCTAAAATTTGACACTTCTAATTTCTAAGCAAACCCGGTTTGATTGGATAAGCTTGTTTTTCAGAAAACACATTACCCAAAAACGATCGTTTATAACTTGCCAACCTAATAGTTTTTGATAGTTTTTGAAAAGAAAACTTTTCCCCAAGTTTCCCCAATTTCAGCAATCGATGAATGTGCTGATGGATCTTCTCAATGTGATCTTCAGAATTCTATATGTGTTACAGTAAGATTGAAATTTAATCTCATAAACATATTTTCAGCTTTCTGATTCGTACTTTTGCAATTGTACTTCAAATTACATCGAAGGGGAAAATCATTCTTGCATTTGTAAGTGAAAATTTTAAAAGTGTAGATTTTTGTGAAACTTTTTTGATTTGGCTACCGTAATCCGATTCCACTGTTTAGTCTCTATAGATATCTTTGTCTCCGGTTGGTTACGGTAGATCTACTTGATCTACTGTACTCGGTAGATCAAGTGGATCTCGTTACGAGGGTGACTCGTTACGAGGGTGACTCGTTACGAGGGTGACTCGTTACGAGGGTGACTCGTTACGAGGGTGACTCGTTACGAGGGTGACTCGTTACGAGGGTGACTCGTTACGAGGGTGACTCGTTACGAGGGTGACTCGTTACGAGGGTGACTCGTTACGAGGGTGACTCGTTACGAGGGTGGACTCGTTACGAGGGTGACTCGTTACGAGGTGACTCGTTACGAGGGTGACTCGTTACGAGGGTGACTCGTTACGAGGGTGACTCGTTACGAGGGTGACTCGTTACGAGGGTGACTCGTTACGAGGGTGACTCGTTACGAGGGTGACTCGTTACGAGGGTGACTCGTTACGAGGGTGACTCGTTACGAGGGTGACTCGTTACGAGGGTGACCCGTTACGAGGTGACCTGTGAGGGTGACTCGTTACGAGGGTGACTCTACGGAGGGTGACTCGTTACGAGGGTGACTCGTTACGAGGGTGACTCTGTTACGAGGGTGACTCGGACGAGGGTGACTCGTTACGAGGGTGACTCGTTACGAGGGTGACTCGTTACGAGGGTGACTCGTTACGGGGGTGACTCGTTACGAGGGTGACTCGTTACGAGGGTGACTCGTTACGAGGGTGACTCGTTACGAGGGTGACTCGTTACGAGGTGACTCGTTACGAGGGTGACTCGGAGGGTGACTCGTTACGAGGGTGACTCGTTACGAGGGTGACTCGTTACGAGGGTGACTCGTTACGAGGGTGACTCGTTACGAGGGTGACTCGTTACGGTTCCCTAGCCTTCCTTAGCCCTCTCTAGCCTTCCCTAGTCTTTCCTTAGCCGGCTTTTGAAGAATTTTTCAAATTCAAAAGATCCAAAAAACTTTTCAGTACCAGAGTGCTCTAAGTTTGATCTCATTGAAAAAATCAAAGATGAAAATACGAGTCAATTCGTGGAACCGGATAAACTGTACTATAAATATTTCGAGACTGTTTCGGTGAGTGAAAAAAAATAACATAAATAGAAATAGAATAGAAAAAAATAAGAAAAAAAGCAAACAAAAACATTTCAGGTCTACACAGGCGCCATCTATGAACACTCGGAAACTTTACTTTATTACAAAACGGTTTGGAAATGTGTTAAAAAGGTGATTTTATCAAGTTGATCAGGTTAGACTAAGCCAGATCCTGGCCTGATTTTACTATAAATTGACCCACAAAAAAAGCTTGAATCTGGCCTAGCTTTGCCTGCTTTGCTTGACTTACAACATCCAATTACATTTGTGAATTCAATTCCACTCTTTATTCCCTTTCAGACTTGGGAACTTGACAATACTGATCTATGGGGAAATATCTACAAAGAAAAAGATATACCAAGTATGAATAAAAAAAAGAAAACTTTTTGAAAGAACTTCTTTAGAATGCAATGGAAGTCAATCAGATTCGTGGGTTTCTCTCAACAAAGCACAATATTTACCGTTTGAAGTCGGAACTGGGCATTGTGTAAGACGATTACTATACAAACGATTACTATACAAACGATTACTATACAAACGATTACTATACAAACATTATACAAACGATCACTATACAAACGATCACTAAGTTCCTCATTTTAACTAAAAATTTCTGAAAAAGTTTAAGTGGCTTAGTTGTAGACACTGAAAAGATCAAAGCTTATAGTAAAAAAAAGTCTTTACATAAAAAAAAATAAACCTTAAATGAACAGCAAAACAAAACTGAAATTTGTTGTTGTTTTCATGGACGACGTCAAAAAAATTGTGACGTCAGAAAACAGCTTTCACATCACATTGAGTCTCTTAAACTTTTTCAGAAATTTGAGTTGAAATGGGAACTTTGAAATGGAACCACTGTAAATATGTAATGTCTAGAAATTTTAGGAAAGCCTCCAGGAAACTTGGGATCCGACGTATTGTAGTCCAAAAGGCTCGTGGGTTGGCGAGTTCTTTTGTAGGAGAGCTCCCGAAAATCGAACGGAAAAGAGAAAAATGAGAAGTTTGAGTAATATTAAAGTCATTTTTTCGAAAGCATATAAATTTTAGATAAACGAATGAAGCAGAAAAATGAGTGCTTGTTACCGGGTAATAAACTGATTGAGGCAACAAGTCGGTCATTGGAAATCGGAAAATTTGCCACAATTAGTTGTAAATATTCAGGATATACACTTTTGGGTGAGAATTTTTCATTTCATTTTTTTCGTTTACGAGATAGAATTTTAGGGTCATCTGAAATTGGATGCTCTTTTCTATCAAAAAGGAATTGTTTATTAGACGCAAGCTCGGCAATCACGATTTATGAGGGAGAAACGTTGACATTATATTGCAATTATCGGCAATCTTGCAAAAATAGGTAAAATCTGATGATAGCATTTAGAAATAGGGGATTTTTATCGATATTTCTCGAACTGTTTTCACTTATGCATCTAGGAATTTGGGGTAGGCTAATTTCCGCAATTTTTTTTTTGCGCAACTGGCCATAACTTTCTTCTAAGTGGACCAACCTTTATGATTTTGGTTTCATTTTGTAGATCTCAATAAGTGCAACAAAATGACACCACAAATCATAAAGATCAGCCCACTTAGAAGAAAGTTATGGCGAGTTGCGCAAATGACCCTGTTGCGGAAATTAGCCTAGCCCGGGAATTTTCGTGAATGAACGTCAATAGGTTTTCAACGGAAAAATGGCATATTTCAGTCAATTTTACTCCAATCTTTTTGATTTTTAATATCACTTGACGCAGAATTGAATTTTCTATCGATTGAAATTAAAGCCAAAAAGATTTGAGTGAAATTGGTTAAGATATAGAAGTTTTCCGTTGGATTATGAATTTTCGTTTCCCGATTTTTTTGAAAACAATTTCAAAACTGATAAATGGTAAATGCTCACTTTTATTTTAGAGTTTATTGGATAGATGAAGAAGGGAAAAGAATTGAAAAAATGAATGCAACAAAAATCGAAATATTTGACGACTTTGCACGAGTGTTACTCGTCAAATACGATACAAAGGTGAAAAACAAATAAATGAAAAAAAAAGTGTATCTAAAACAAGTTTCTTTTTAGATTTCAGACTCTAGAATTTACATCTGTGCATCGGAAGAAGGAAATGAAATTGTTGAGAAAAGAGAGATCAAAGTTTCCGTGATTCCTTCATTCAACGACTCACCAATTTCATCATCGGAAGCCGGTAGTTTAAAGATTTCTCAAAAATTTGTCGATTTTTCTATAGAAATCTTTCTTTCACTAGCGAAACTCGGGACGTTGGTCGAGTTTTCCGATTCTAATGTGAGTTTTCTTAAAGAGAAATATAGATAGAGATCTTAAAGGTTTAATCTGAAATAATTTTTAAATTTTAAATTTAAAGGAGTTGGTGAAGTTGGATCAGGGATCTTCAAAAATAAGACAGGAAATTCTGTCTTGGCTTTGATCTGAAAAATCTATTGGGCTAGTGAAAGTGAAGCCCAAGTCTGGCCTTGGCCTAATCTGGGCCAAGCAAGCCAAGCCAAGCCTAATCCAGGCCAAGCCAAGCAAGAAAAGCCAAGCAAGCTTTGATTTTGCTCTAGTTTTTGATTAGTTTATAGGCCTTCAGTTTTTGTTTTGAAAATTCATGATCTTGATTTTGAACTGTGGAAAAACAAAAGGCAAATTACATTCATCAACTTATTTAGTGGAGAGTTCTTGACGATAATCGCATTTTGAGGTTTCCATTTGGAGATAAAAGGTATTTTTATTATATAATAAAACGAATATTGTAAATATTGTAAATATTATAAAATAAGATTATAAAGAGATAAAGATCAATGTTAAAAGTCATTTAGTACAGCAAGATTTGGCCCAATCGACACTGAATCGGATTGGATTCTGTTGAATCTTTGGATAAACTCAACTTCTATTATTGAAATAAGACTTCAAGAAAATAGAGAAGAAAATAGAGAAAATAGAGAAGAAAATGATAGAGAAATCTATAAAATCGTGAATTCTGGCTATTACTCGATTCCGATTTCTCTATCAATGAAGAGATTTTTTTTGAAATTCATTACTGACGGACAAATTCTTATTGAAGATCTTTATTTGGAATACCTTTATTGTGCAGAGGTTTGGCTTTAAAATAAACAGAAACCAATCAGAAATTCAAATTCTAGACAAAAATTGGTTTAACTCATTATCCACGGACAAGAATTGAGAAAAAGGCTCAGGTAAAGTCGGAAAAGAGAAAATTACTTATGAAAATTTTAGCTTGTTCAAGGCTCGTGTTCAAAAGATTCCATTGAATTCCATCAATCATTTGCCGAATGTTTGCCAGGTATCAATAGTGCCAAAGACTAGTTAACTTCCTCTGAAGTAAGGAACACAAAGTGGGTTGTGGTGTGATGATTAGCACAGTTGTCCGGTGAGCGGCTGATTGTGGGTTCGAGGCCGGGTGGCGCACAAGTTTTTGCCTGCCCTAGTTTCAACTGACGATTCGAGTTTTTCCCAGCTGATTCGAAAGATAGATTGAAGTTCAGATCAAAAGTGATAGATTGGGGAAAACTGCGATAGTTTACAATAAAAGATACTGGATTACGTTAGTTTTTGCGAGCTGTGTCAACTTGTCAACAACTGCGAGCTGTGTCAACTTGTGAACAACTGCGAGTTGTGTCAACTTGTGAACAACTGCGAGTTGTGTCAACTTGCGAACAATTGCGAGTTGTGTCAACTTGTCAACAACAAGCGAGTTGTTTTAGAAAACGAAACAATTTAGAGGGAAAGTATTCGGTTTAAGATTGGTGATCAAAAAGTTCTGTAAATGATAAATGATTTTCTAAATGAAAGCTAAAAGAAAATTTCATGTTTTATAACATTTTGAAGGTGGTTTTAGCCGATGAACATTTCTAAGTAAAGAACTCGGATTAGAATTTTCTTTTTAAGAAGACTTGCACTGGTATTTTGAAGCTGAAATCCTGGGGAGCATTTCTACACCTAAATCATCCTGATCAAAGTCACCTAGCTCTTCAAAAAAGCATTGTAGTGCACTGGAGGGAAGCTGTCAAGGGAAACAGTCCATGAGACAAATGACAAAACAAAAACAGTCCATGAGACAACTTGCCTGTTTTCAAATAACAACTTTTTAAACACTATTTTACGTTTTCATTTTCACTAGAGATTTTTGATTCTTTAAAAAAAAACAATTTAACTGTTATTTAAAAGGTTTTTTCGATTGAAAACAGATTCAAATAGGTGAGCGCGATGACAGCTTCCCTCCAGTGCACTACAATGCTTTTTTTGAAGAGCTAGGTGGCTTTGATCAGGATGATTTAGGTGTAGAAATGCTCCCCAGGATTTCAGCTTCAAAATACTAGATAATAAGTCGGATTTTGAGCTGGGTTTTAGCTGAAAAATCGAGCTTCTTTTGTAGAGTGGGAACTTTTTGATCACCCTGTATGTTTAGATGGTATTTGGAATCGAAGCCGAAGTGTTTCATCGTGTAAATGTCGCGAAGGGAAAGCTGAATATCTTGGTGAATGCGTTGAAAGAGGTCATTTTCTTGATTTTCTTGATTTTTATTTGATTTTGTTTAAATTCCAGGTACAAAATGTTATTCTTGTTCAAATGATGCCGATTGTAAAACGATAAAACAATGCGACCGAGGAGAGATCTGTTATAGTAAATTGGCTTTTTATATGGATACAAAATTTGTCGATCAAGGCTGTATAAAAAGAGTGAATAAATGAAGAATGTTTATTTATGCAAATTTGAACTTTAGGAGAATTGTATTTTGGAAGAATCGGCGAATTGTTGTGATCGAGATTACTGTAACGATTTTCGTCAAACGGTATTCAATTAAGCAATTTGAATTTAACGGCTAGCACTAAAGGATACTGAACACTCTAATCTAGACTGAATACTCTAAAAAACTAGATCACTGTTATTAGTTTAGATTAGGGTATTCATTCTAGATTTAAGTATTCCGTCTAGATTAGAGTATTCAGTCTAGACTGCCTGGATTCCGGTATTCCATCTAGAATCCTAATCTGACTTAAATTTAGATCATTTCCTTAATAGATCTTCTCTTTTTCTAGCTTCAGTTAATCAAAGTTACAGTAGGATCTCACAAAGGAATGATCCGAACTGAAACGGACGATTTCGCTACGCCGCATAAGATGCAAACGCCTATCGAGCATGGGGAACACGATGCTCTATTTATCTTTTGTCCATTCTCAATGGTTCACAAGAAAAACGCTTGCAAAGTTTGGGCGCCTACTCGGGAAATGGCACCTCGGGGATATACCTGGGCTCTTTCCTCTTGCGCTCAAACGTGACCGTATGGTGTCGAGGTAAATGTGCGCGCTCTCAATCTCTCTTTTGCATTTTTGACCCTGGTGCGGATCCGGTTGCGTAAATTTTTCTTGTTTTCTTTTGCTAAACCTTTAAAAACACTTTTTATTTATTTTAGAATATCCAATAATAATTTTTGAAGGCTAAATTGAAATTTACGATCCAAAAGTTGAAAATTAACGGTGTACTTTTTTGGCTTAAAGATTTTTCCTCCTGCAAGCGTTTTGCTTGTGAACCATTGAGAATGGGCAAAAAAATAAATAAATTATCGTGTTCCCCATGCTCGATAGCGGCGTAGCGAAATCGTCCGGTCAGTTCAGACCATTCCCTTATCAGTATCAATTTCCCGGGTTACTGTAACATCTACGAATTGCTACAAGTTACGATAACCAAGTCAGCCTTTATTTAAGCATCTATTTAGTTAAAATTTTGAAAAAATAACGATCGTATAGCATTTATCAATGTAAATTTTGCAAAGCTATGCAAAGATAAGCGTTCATTGTTTAGGAAAAGAAGCCAACTTTAACGGGATTCGGAAAATGTTTGGATGAAAGGCGAACTTCATTGGAATGCGTTGAAGCAATCGAAGTGCAAAAAAATGGTTTTCCTTTGTGATTTTCTAGTCTTAATTCTCGAATTTCCGGTGTTTATCCAATCATTTTCGCTGTGCCACTTCCAAAAATCACCGACAATACCCCATTTTATGAAATTGAATCGAACATGCCACTATTTGATGGAAAGATTTTGTTGACAAAAGAAATGGAGAGAATTAAATGGAAAGTGACGGATCTACATCAAAAAAGCACTGAATGCGTGATGCCGATCTTGGTGAAAACAAGTGGGGAAAATTTTCAATTTTCTTTTCATTACGGTTTTTTGTTCATTTTTTGTTTTCAGGACCCGAATCAATCGAAATCTCTTGCCCAGATGAACTCAATTTCCCTCGACTTTTCCAAACGCAGCAATTAATCCTTCCCGATTTTTCAATGAAAAACATTAAATCTCATCCAGAAAATGGATCATTTATCGACACCTCAATCGCTCATTTTATTCAAATCTATGACGAGAATTCAAATCAAGAGATCTTTTGCGAATTTTATGTTTCTTTTAAAGGTTTGATTTGAATTGATTTGAATTTCAAAATTGATTTGCACTTTTAGAAAACAAATGTAAACGGATTCCACCGAATTTTGTGTGCACTCAAAAGGGAAATAAAACAAACTGTCGACAAGATTCTTGTGGCGAAAATCAAATTTGGACACATCAGGTGATTCTTTCTATATTAAACGTTGGTTTTTCTCGGAAATACGAATCCTTTCATTGTGAAAAGCTATCATATGCAAAGTCCAAAGCCAATTCGATTCTCTTGGGACTTTTCTTGGGATAAAAGGTTAAAATAAACTCCGTCAATGGGTATTAGATGAACCGTATTAGATCAAAAAAGGAACCGTATTGGAACCGTATTGGATCAAAATAACAAACCGTATTGGAACCGTATTAGATCAAAAAAGGAACCGTATTAGATCAAAAAAGAACCGTATTGGAGCCGTATTGGATCAAAATAGGAATCTTACTCGTCTCGTCAATTCGTCAATGGGTTCTACGACCATGAAAACCCCAGGGCACAAATTTTTAACACTAAATCTCATTTGGGAATCATTTACAGAACGAGAAAAAGCACTTTGTAAAGTAACCGGTGTTCTTTGTGCGGACATGTAATCGCTCTAAAATCTGGCAAAGTTCTTTGGTATAGGGTTCTTTGAGTTTTGCATATCATAGCTTTTCACAATGAAAAGACTCGTATTTTGCCAAAAAGAAACCCCAGTTTTCCGAGAATCCAAACGGTTTCTCGGATAGTTGAATATTGACAAAACTTGAAATCTATTTAAATACGTCTTACGGTAGTTTAAGCTTACAAAAAAATACTTAATTTGATAGATTAGTGGGATGGATGAAAGCTGGTTAGTTGTCAGTTTGTCGTCCTTTTTAACTACAGCAATATAGCTTCAGATCTCATCAATATCTTGTGATCCATTGAATGAATGGATTGTCAATGTCAATGCTGATCAAACGTCGACCATTCCGAAATGTCAAAGTTGATCTTTTTGATCTGTATTTGTCACTTGTTCATTTCAGAAATCGATCCAATCAACTTCCGATCGATATTTTCCTATTCTCTCACAAAAAACAGTGAGCCAAATTGTGCCGAATTCATTGTCAATCAAGTATTTGATAATTCGAAATGTTTATTATTCAGATATTTAGTTAAAACATCAAGTTCTCATTGCAACCGATCGTTTCTGTCAACCGGAATACATCAATTTCGTTCATTCATCGAATCATGGCACAAATTTGAGTGTTTCCTTTGATTGGAAAGGAACGATTGATGGAGATTGCACTCGAGTACTGCAAAAGTTACAGGTTTATTGTAATATCAAGCAAATCAAGCAATGAAAGGCTATGTTTAGGATGAATACGTTGTATCAAGTCTACCAAATTGTGAGTTCTCCTCTAAAGTTTATGAGCAAAAGTTTTCTGGCTGTCCTTCGGGATGGGAAAAACGAAATCATATCTGTGGTGAGTTGTTGCTGACGTCAAATCAACGTTTATGAAAAAATTTAGTTGAATGTCCATCAGGATATTTTCATAAAGATGGTTATGGCTGTGAGCTTTGCCCAATTGGATTGTACTCATCAAAAAGTGGATCACTTTCTTGTGAGAAATGCCCGCCAAATACGATTACTTCAGAAGAAGGATCGACTCGATTGAATCAATGCATTTGTAAATTTGAAGAAAATTTCTACGATCATTCAATTTCAGCTCTTTGTCCATCGGGTTTCTATTCAATTGATGGTTTAGTTCCTTGTCTTCCGTGTGATTATGGCTTCTATCAAGTATAGCTTTAGAATCTCTATGATAAGAAATACTTTAGGAGTATTCGGGATCATCTTTTTGCTCTAAATGTCCATACAATATGATAACGCTGAAGAAAGGGATGAAATCGAGGAGTGATTGTCTTGGTTGGTTACAAGTTTATGAAATTTTTATTTCTAATCATCATCAAGATTTTTTTAAAAAGATTGATTACCCCAATGTCCTTTTTTAGAGGCTAAGCAAATAGAAAACCATTTAGATTCTTTATGTACTCATAAAGCACAAAATATTCAGCTATTCTATTGAAAAGTTAATTAAAAACTGTCTTTATAACAATTTAACCCGATTCACCATTTCGATCTCTCAATTTAACGACGTCGGCAACGGCAAAGACTAATTTTTTTTGCGCAGTTTGCCATAACTTTCTTCTAAGTGGCCTAATCTTTATGTTTTTGATGTCATTTTATAGAGCTCAACAAGTACAAAAAAATGACATCAAAATCATAAAGATTGGCTTAGAAGAAAGTTATGGTGAGTTGCGCAAAAGAGCCGGTTGCGCAAAAAAAATTTGGCGCAAAGCCACCCCAGCAATGGCTAGTCGCTGGTTCAGGGTTTTTTGGAGATTTATTTTGTTTTGTTTTTCTACTTTCGCACAGTTTCGCTTCAAATCCTAGCCAAATAATGTGCAAATGCAATGCAAATTGCATGTGAGAACAATCGTTTTCTTGTAAATTGAATGAAATTAAATGAATTCAGCTAAATGTCTTCCTGGATATCAATCAATGGCTATTGATGGAATGATTGAATGCATCGAATGTCCACGTGGATCATTTGAAATGAATGGTCTTTGTCATGAATGTCCAAAAGAGATGACAACAATGAAATCAGCTTCGTCAAATGTTTCACAATGTGTAGCAGGTAGATGAATCAAGATATTTTCCTAGTTTCATATACTTTAATATTAAATAAATCTCCAATAAATAAATAAATAAATATTAAATCAATTCCATTAAGCCACTTGTCAAGTATTGGGTTGTAAAAATGGTGGTATTTGTGAGGAAAAAGCGCTCATTTGTGAATGCCCAATTGGATATTTTGGGTAAATTAGTTTAAAGAAAAAAAAAAATTTCATATTGAATTCAGAAACGATTGTGCTTTGGTTCTTGATTTGTGCACTTCGAACTATTGCTTTAACAATGGAGATTGTCTCTTTGAGAATCATACAAATATCTGTCATTGTAAAGGTTGTAAAAAGTAAAAACTTGTTTCTTTAAAAAATGAATTTTTAGAGGGATTTCATGGGAAACGTTGTGAAGAACGAAATGAGGAAAAAGTTCAGAAAATGAAGAGTCTCAAGTGTCAGACGGGTTGGGAAATTTGGGAATTTTTAGGCAAACCCACTAGTTATACAAAAGATATAAAAAAGTTTACGAAAATCTCTTTCTTATCAATTTTAGGAAGTTCTTTTGATGAGATGGGCAATCAATGTCCACTTTTATCAAGTAATTTCCCTCCAGAACCTCAAAAATGCCAGTGTGAAATGGGTCATGGTGTATGCGAGTTTCCGCCACAATCTGATCCAGATGGCAATCCATCTGATCCATATGACAATCCGTTTAAATGCAATTGTCAATCAGGTAAGGAAAATCATTTTCGACTATTGATATTGATTTCGACTTCGATTTTAGGTTACAGCGGGGATTTCTGTGAATATCATGTCACTGATGAGTTCTGTCAACTTAATGATACTGGTATGGGTATTATGAGATTATGAATTCAATGTCAAAGCACCACATAGTTTAGAGTTTAGAGTGTGCTTTCTAAAAGATTAAAAACTATCGTATGCATAGAACTAACTTATCTACCGTACAGGTGCCTGGTAATCGCATAATACTAAAGTTTGGTGATTGAACGTAAACTCGCTTTGATTACGGTTGTTTGCTAACCTAAACACCTTTTAGAAAACGCCATTAGTTGGAATGCACTAGACCTATAACATTGTTAAATCTTTGTTATGCATAACTACACTTTTTTTGTTTTAAAACTTTAACCCTAAACGTAACTTACCCATAAATTGTGCCAAATTTAAATATCGAAATGACATTATAACATGAAAAAACGAATGCTAGCCTAAACCCACTTTTTCTAGTCAAAACAACAACTCCATTTTATCCCAATACTACAACAGTATCGATGAATTCAACAATAATAGCGACGACAACGACAACGACAACAACAACGACGACAACAACGACGACGACGACAACAACAACAACGACGACGACGGAAACGACAACGCGTAACATAAGTCTTTGAATATTAATCTTATTCCATTCTCAGAAACCACTCAGGAAGCTAACAATGGATCTTCTGTACTGAATACCACAACTAAAACATTAACAACTTTAATAGACACAACCATCTTTCCCTCCACATTCCCATCAACCCAACAATCGCCTGAACAAGCGTCCACCACTCGAATGGATTCTTGCATCTGGACAACAAACATCCAGTCACAAACTTTCTCAACTATCTACAGTATCATTTTACTAACTATTATACTAGCCAAATCTGGCCTTCACCTAGCCTTTAGAAGTCTACTCTTTTATTTCAGCCAATACTCCCTTAAATATGAGCATTTGTGCGAATTTGATGTACAATGCATCATCGGATTCTGTTGAAGTAAATGAGAACAATTGGAGTTTGGAAAGCAATAAGCGTTTTGCAGAGACGGCGAATTTGTCGAGAGGGCAATTTGAACAAAGAGATGAATATTTGCGAAATCCTGGATGAATGTGCAAATATGGGATGTGAACATGGGCATTGCACAAAAGAAACACAACCGGCGAGCTGTGTTTGTGATAGAGGTGAGGGGGAATGAGAAAATGGAAATTTGGATGGATTGGGACTGGGTGGTTATCGAGTTTTCTAAAAAGTGTCAACTTTTAAAAACATCGTAATCTTGCTTCTATGTACATGGTGACCGAAATTTGAAAAACGAAATGTCGTGAGGTTTTTGACTTGTAGATGATGCCAAGTTTATTAAAATCTATTGAACTCATCCAAAAATGTAGCAAATTTTCTGTAGTTTCTTAAACTTATAATTGTTTTTACAAGAAATCTCCTAGCTTTTGAGTTATACCCTTCAAAAAAAAGTCCTCTGCGCCGAAAGTGATATAGAGGTTCACCCTAGAATATTGTGTTGCACGTTAGGCTGGCTGCTGAAAGGATATTATCAATTATTAGCTAAGGTCTTCATTTAGAATAGATACAAAAATGAAAAAAAAATCTTTTTACACACTTTTCCCACCATTACCACCATTTTCACAAGCACTCCTTAAAAAACGGCAAAAATCGAGGTTTTCTAACATACTCAAGATGCATTTTTAAGTCATGTGTTTAGTTTTAAAAAATTGGTTATATAATTTCAACTAAATTTTAATTCAGATATTCTAGCTAATTGCAATTTGCATTTTTCATTTTGCAAAAGATATTTAACCTCAAACTTTAAAAAAAAAATGAGCAGCAGTGTAGAGGCCTTTTTTGAAGTGCACGGAAATTTTCTCTAATAGTAGTGCACCCTGAGCGTCGCCTAAATTCCTCGAAATCTCGAAAAGCGCTTATCAGAACCTATCGATGTGGGGTCGGGAAATGTAGCTGACGATGAGATCTAGTGGAGGATTAGAGTGTTGAGCTTCTGCAAAAGCTTGGAAACCGTAAAATAGTCACCAACTCGGCTCACCGGGGTGCGCTACTATTAGAGAAAAAATGGTAACTCAAAAACTAGGAGATTTCTTGTAAAATAATTATATGTTTAAGAAATTACAGAAAATTTGCTACATTTTTGGATGAGTTCAATAGATTTTGATAAATTTGGCATCATCTACAAGTCAAAAAACCTCGCGACAAATTTCGTCGGCTACCCTGTAGTGTTTCTCTAATCCATATACTTCGAAATCCATACAGAATCAGATCAAAGGTCAATTGGATAAAAAGACAAAACTACGGTGACTTCCTTGACACTTTTTAGAAGTATTAATGATTTTACGAATTACAAAATATCTTATTTAGGCTACAATGGTCAATACTGTACTCATCAAATTCCACTTTGCAATCCAGAGGTTTTATTTCATTTTTCAATTTAATTTTTATAAACTTTTTAGATTTACTCTAACTCAACTTGTCTAAATGGTGGTACTTGTGAGGAAATCGATGGTTTAACAACGCATTGTCGCTGTCGTGAGGGATTTACTGGCCAAAACTGTCAAGACCTTATCAATTATTGTGAATTCGATGATACTTGTTTGTTAAATCAAACGCTTAATTGCACGAATCTTCTCAACGATCAGCATTACTTTTGCTTTTGTAAACCAGGCTATCAAGGAAGGAAATGTGAGGTGGGAATGAGTTTGACTTTTTCTAAAAAACAAGCATCAGTTTAGGATCGAATCGATGAATGTGATCTCTTTTGCGTAAATGGTATTTGTGATACGGATGGGAAATGTCATTGTCATGATGGATGGATGGGTTCGTTTAGTTTTATTCTATTGGAAAATCAGAATTCTCTTATTATTAGTGGTATAAGCAGCACAGCGGTTTTCAACTTTAATACTTTGGTCCAAAAAATCTTTCTTATTGTTCAAAACTTTTAAGAACCATGTTAAGACGAAGTGACCAAAATAGATGTGTTTCTTGATCGATCAAGAAGGTAATCAATAGCGCTCAATCACGATTAGCATTATACATATACCGCTATAAACTACCAAATGACAAACTATCAAACTACAAACGGTCATAACTTTTTTCTCGTTGGGTATTTTTCTAAATCGTTTTTTCCAAAAAATAGAGGAACTCGAGAGCTTTCGAATGGTACCAAGTTTATGTAGAAAAAAGCATAAATAATTCAAGTTTAGGGCTGTTTTGTGTAGAGCATGGAACACAACTCGTTTAGATTTTTTAAATGATAAATTTTTAAATGACTATGATCATTATCAAAAAAAGATCGATAATCAAGTTTACCCCAAATCACCCCATTGAGACAACCATTTAATTCAGAAATCAAATCGTTTTAGGCGATTATTGCATCGATCCAGTTATCGGTTGTTCTTCTCAATTTTTATGCCAAAATGGCGGGTATTGTCTAAACATCTTTGGTGAGTTATTTCTAATTAAAAGTCACAATAAAGTTTTATTTAGGCGAGTCGTTGGAGAAAAATCACGTGTGTTCCTGCTTGGATACATGGGGTGGAGAGGATTGTTCGATGGAAATAAGGTTTGATTGAGACCTGGTAGCCGACAAACATTGAAATAAAGGTACTGTAATCTGTTCCCATGTCAAAATGGGGGAAGTTGTGCAAATGATGTCACTTCTGGATATATCTGCTCCTGTCCAAAACGTGAGTGTTCACAAATTTTTCGAAGACTCTCACTTTTTCAGCTTACGAGGGTGTGGCCTGTGAGAGGATTGGATGTTCGAATTGGTGTCAACATGGGAATTGCAGGTAAAATTTCATGATGGATGGGTCATTATGTAGAAAATCGTCAAAAATGGCAGCGCACCGGGTAAGGGTTGACTAGTGCTCATTCAAGGACTTGTTAAATGAGTTGTATCCATCTGATTGGGAAGCTTTTAATAGATAAATGTAGCCAAGATTAAGAGCTACAATTCTCTATATAACACTTGATATTTTAAAATAAATTACGCGTGCGACAACTAGTTTTCCAAAATGTTATCCGAATAATTTTGCTTAACCCTGTTGGGAGAATGAACCTGATTTAAAACAACAATTTTTTTAGAACAAATTCGACGAGTGCTTGGTGTGATTGTGATCCAACGTGGATGGGTGACGAATGTTCCGTTGACATATCGGTATCGATTTTTTTTTCCGTTTATAATGCATTCTCTTTTTCAGCAAGCCTGCAACATTGGAGTGTTTTGTCAAAATGGTGGAACATGTCAAAATGCGACTGGAGACGATCAAAAGATTCAAGGGAAATGCTTGTGTCCGTCGAATTTCGGTGGACCTTTCTGCGATATGCCAAAAGGTTTCAATTTATCCAGGAAATTGTTCATAGAATTTCTCCAGATTCATCGCTCAGCTTTAATCTTGCCTACAATGGTGTACGGAGTAGTCAGCAAATCACCACGCAAGGAATCCCATTCACTTTTCTCAGGTAAAGAAGATGCATAATCTCATAGCTAATGAAAAAAGTGTTAAAAGTTAATAGCTGGCTGTAAAATCTAAAAATCTAAAGGAATATCCAAGAGCCAGTTAAAGCGACAGAGTTTGGTTCTGAATTGACAAGGGAAATTTTTGTTTGGAATCTGGTGTTTCTAGCTATGAGACTATGTGCTGCTTGTTCTTTATAAAACTCAAAATCCTTTCCAGAGAATTTACTTTATGTGGCTGGGTTCGCTACACTCCACTCCAACCCGCTCAACCACTTCCCGAACAACCGCCATTTATCAGCTTGATTTTGGTATCATAACGGTCTCTTTCTCTCTCTTTATTTTCAAATTTAGCAAGATTCCTTCGAATTTCTCTCAATCACTGATCGATGGGTGAGGCTGAATGGGACAAAAGTGCTCCCAGTCACAATTGATCCCTACATTTGGAGATTTGTAAGTTTAAATGGCTTGTTGTTACAGCTTGTTACAGCTTTACAGCAAAATTGTTACAGCCTTTAATTTTTTTTCTAGATTTGTGTCTCGAGTCCGAGAAATATCACTAATACGAATAGCAATGAATGGACAGCTTATGAAGTTTGCACTTTGCCTCTGGAAAACGAAAACCAAAATTTCAGGATGGCCAACTCACATCGAGGCAAAATTTCAGTCGAGTCAATGTGACAACGTCTGGCGATTCCCAATATTACAATATTCAATTGGGCAGGGAGAAATCGGGATTCTCGTTGTTCAGCGGGAACATTGGATTTGTTTTTGTATGAAAGAAAAAAAGAACAAAAAAATCCAGGAACTTTAGTTTGATGAATTTCCGCTGAGCGACGATGAGATTCGACAAATGGCTTTCAATTGTACGCATGGGGAATCGACGGCATCGAATGGACTTGTTTCATGGTTAGACAAATGTTTGCTAACAGTCTTAATTCGATTCAAAAATAAGGACATTTGATAAACTTAGCAACTGATTTCAAAGCTAAAAAATTAGTTGTAAGCCATTACCCAGAGTTAGAGTTATCTTCAAATCACGAATTTGTGTAGCTGAATAATATGCACACAAATTTCGAGCCATTCTGAACTTCGAGTTGAGCCCATTTCCTCGAAATAGGTATATCAGAAAATTTTGCGGCTCTGTTCAATTACAGGATGACTTGAAAAGAAAAGAATGACCTAACTTCAAATCCTTGATCTATCTGTTATTAGTTTTCGATCAGAGGATGGGGAGATTTTTGAAAAGCAATTAAGAACAATGAGGAACTGAAAAATACCTGTGAAAAAAGAACGGTGCAGGGATAAAGGGGAATTTTTGACTCTCCAGGTCCGGTTAGACTTGGCTGGAATTTAGAGAAAAATACAGCCAAATTTAGCGCGAAAAATTGCTCTCAAAAATTTGGGCCTAATTTGCGCCAAAAATTTGGGCGTCACGCCCCCAAAACGGCGAAGCGGAACAACCCATAGATAGTTTCAGAATCTAGATGATTCAGCGATCATTTTTAGATATAACACATCAAAATCCATGTGCAAAGTCACAACGAAACGTCGATCAGAGTTGACACCAAATTAGCCGAGAATACTGTGATCTTATTTGAGATTGGAGATAAAAATTGGTAGACCCGACAAAATAAATAGCGTCAATCGATTCCCCGACCCCGAAAACCCGCAGGTACAAATTTAGAACTGAATGTCTTCTTTTTGGACCATCGACAAAGCAAAAGAAATGTAAATGACTAGCGATGTGTTCTTTGTGCGGCCGCGTAATCGCTCGCTATCTGGCAAAAGCCTCTGATATAAGGTTTTCCCTTTCGAAATCCGTAAAGGGAAAGGAGTTGGGGTGAACGACTGAGCCGGCTTCCCCGTTTCGCGCGTCACTATGCCCAAATCCCCGAGAACAATTTTCGCTCTAAATTTGGCTATATTTCTGCTACAAATTCCAGTTAAGTCCAGTTAAAAATTCCAGTTAAAAATTTCCCTTTATCGCTGAACCGTTCCTTTTTCACAGGCATTTTTCAGTTCCTCATTGTTCTTAATTGCTTTTCAAAAATCTCTGGATTCTGTGATCAAAAAACGAATAACAGATAGATAAAGGATTCTTTTTAAGTGATCCTGTAATTGAACAGAGTCAACTTTGCTCTTTAGGCCTTCTTTAGGATTCTTTGATTGATCCTGTAATTGAACAGAGTCAACTTTGCTCTTTAGGCCAGAAAGTTTCACTCGAGTTGATGATTCAAATCCGGGAATCACTCGATCGTATCCCGGAATCTGCGCGGCACCACAGAGAGATTGTAGAAAAGGAGATCCCACGTGTGCACCACCTAAAGGTTTTTGAAATTTGCTATAAACCTTGATGTTTAAAAGCATTTTCAGACAAGATTGCCCCAACGATTGTCTATTGTCCGTCAGACATTCGAGAAGTGAGTCTCGAACGGCTGAAAGTGATGAATTGGTCAACGCAATTCGATGATAACATCGGTGTCGTGAGAGTGGAAAGCAATTTTCGATCAGGACAGACATTTTCTTGGTGATTTCGAAAGGATTACCGTATACGAGTTGGAAATTTAGGGGAATGTACGGAGTAATTGTGACAGCCTATGATGCAGCGGACAACTCGGCCACTTGTCAATTTAAACTCTCTGTTGCTCCGTATAATGTTCGTGATTATGGATATGTATAGTTAAATTTAATCATTCAAGTGTACTTCTATTCAAACACCACAAAATGGACAATCATTGCTGATGAAAGTTGATGGAACGGACACAGATACGGTGGGAAAAACAATCAAAAATCAAAATAATACTAGAGGCATAGTTACGTTAACTTTCAAAAGTTGACACATTTTAGAAAATAACTTGAAAGGAACTAATATATTGTAAATTGTAAATATTCTAATAGAACGCCACCTCCTCGTACAGTCGCATAGTCTAACTTTTTAGAAAATCATTTTTTTCTCAGCCCCTAGATTTTCCCAATTACTTTTTGGTGCCAAAAAATACTAGATTTCAAGGGCTATCATTTGACACCCAAGCCCACACTGTAGCATAAAGCAGCGCGGAGAATGGGACGTTCAAAGTTAGACTTCGCGACTGTACCCCCGTCATTGTGGCGTTCTTTTAGAGTATTTACGGTAAATGGAGTTTTTAGATTGCCGTCGTTTCATGTCTTTCCGAGTATTATCCCAACATTCATCCACCATTTTATGTTTGCGATGTCCTGGTGGGTATTTTCTGAAATCAAAGACTTGGGAAAACTTGATATCTGCGAGCAGGGCTGTTTCTGGACCAAAATTTTCAGAACAGGTCAGGCCAAGCCAAAGCTCGATCTCAAAATTTTGTGGCTCTTCATAGCCTTTAAGTCTGGCCTCGCCTGGCTAGCCATGACTTTTAAACTTTATGAACAGCCTTGGAAATTCTGAAAAACATTTCTTTAGGGTCAATGGGATCGATGGCATGGAGTAATGAGGAACTCCTCGTTTCGCCCACCCGGATGCGGGGAAACAAAAAGTTCGACACAGGTGAGAAAGCTGGATTCAGAATAAATCTCAACTGAAATCATTACAGTTAATCAACGGTTCTTTGTATTCCGATGAGAATTGCGAGCGCGTTTACGAGAATATCCTCTTGACATTGAATGAAACGATTCAAGAGGTAAAAAGAGTGAAGTTTTCCTCAAAAAAAAAACTTTCAATTGCAGTATTGTGATTCTGCGAAAAGTGACTGCTCGTATTCCATTCAAAATCCATGTCTTCCGTTGAATTCAAAGAAAAGAAGAGAAAGAAAAGATATCCTTGCTTCGACAATGAATCAATTTCACTTTTCGCTGACGATAAAGTGAGTGAAATATCAAGATTTTAAAGGAGAATTTGAGTTAACAAGGGGTAATTTCAAATAGAAAAGACTAGCAATTTAAAGAACAAAGTTGAAGTTGAACAGAATATGAAAATTTTGGGGAAAAAATACCAAAAAGACAGCCAACGGGATTGAACCCTGACCCCCTGACTAAGGTCCAAGGTTCTTAGCCACTCGACCATAGCGACAGACGACAAGGTAAGCGACTTTGCACCCAAGATACCGTGACAAAGCCTGAAATGACGTTTTATATATCTTTAATCATTTTGAAGACTGGATAGCTAAAATTTCCATTTAAACAAACATGAATTGGATGGGGAAAACTTGGAAAGTACCAAGAAGATCTTTTCTTTCAAAATATCCTAGCTTAAGTTCGTTATGTAATTCCAGAAACTCGTGGGAATACGTGGCGCCGAATGTGCGGCAAGATCTCTTGAATCTCACTCAACCATTGGGTATCTCAGTTGATGAAGAAATCGGGTGCCCATCGGATTTCCCAATTCGAAATCTTGACCCAAACACGCAAAAAGTTTCTTGTGGTTCGTTTAGATCTCTATTCAACGAAAGGCTTTTTTGGTTTTTTTTTGCCCCCATTCGCTTCTCTCAAAGAACTTTTCAGCAAATTGTCAGCCTTGTCATCAGCCAACAGCAGATAATTCAGCTTGTGAGTGTCTCTGTCCACTTGGAAAATATTGTATGGATAGTGAGTTTTAATTGGTTTAATACTTTTACCAAATCTTTCTTTCTATATTTCTTTCTCTTTAGATTCTTGTCAAGATTGCCCTGCAAATAAAACAACATATCAATGCTCGGATTCAGGACATGGAATTGGCGATTGTGAAGGTTTAAATTGAACTGTTTGATTTGTTTTTAAATGCTTAAAATGCTTTTCAGTGATTTGTGGACCAGGCGAAGAAGTGATCTCATCAGAACAATGCGGTTTATGTGCTCTTGGTCAATTCAGTCCTGATGAGAAGCAAAGACTTTGTGATCATTGTCCATACGGAATGACGACAAATGATACCGTAATTTTGGAGAAACTTCATGAACATTTATCTTTCTAGGGTTCAACCAGTCAAGCCGATTGTTTCTATTGTGCAGCTGGGCTGATGTTGAGTCAAAACGGGCGATGTGAAGCTTGTCCAATGGGCACTTATAAGGTTTTTTTTGGCTCTTTTTCGTTGTCTGGGGGATTTTCAATAAGTAACCAGGCTGTTGAATTGTTTAGGAATAATATTATTGTTAACTTTTTATCTATTTATAAAGATAGCACTTCAGAAATGATGGAATGAAATTTGAACTAGGCTAAGAAGTTTCAGAATCATTTCAGAATTCATCTAAAAGTTTAGACCAATTAAACACGAGTTTCGAGCGTCACTATGCTCAAATTCCCGCTTTTAATTTTTCTGTTTTCTTGCGGTCGAATAAAAATATGAAATTTATACAAAAGCAGAGTCAACTTTTCACTTAAATTTTGATTTATTTGAGGAAGAAACTGGTGAAAGTCAATGCACGCCTTGCCCAAATGATGGAAATGGAGGCAGTTTTACAACACCAAATGAAGGTAGAAAGTTATAAATTTAAAAAATTTTGCTTCATTTTCTCCAGGTTCAATCTCGAAATCAGAATGTACTTTATTGGCCTCATGTCCGAAAGATCAAAAGCCGAAAGTCAGTGGATCAGTGATTATTGTTGATCCAAATCTTCCAATATCTTCTTATTGTCAAAGATGTCCGTATGGAACGACGACACAAGTTTGTTTTTAGAAGTATTCTTTAGTAATTTACGAAAAAAAAATTGGGGGTTTTTTTTTAAACTACCGTTTTAAGTACATCAACAAAGTATCGTTTTAACATTTTCATATTTTCAGGAATGCGAACCTCTTCAATGTTGTCGTTGTAACTCGCCAAGTACTTGCTCGTGGGTTTTAAAATCATTTTAAAAAAAACGATTATCGAAAAGCTTTTCAAAAGAAACCTTTTCAGAAATGTTGAATGTAAACCGGACAGTAAAATGGCTGCCGATCAATGTGAAGATGGGATGGAATGTGATAGAACGAGCTACACATGTATTGAACAATCATCAACACATAATAGTGTGAGTGTAAAACAAAAAAAAAAGACAATAATACAACTTTAAAATTAAAGGAAAAGCCATCACCGAGTCGTTGGTGGATCGGCGTTTTGGTTGGTGTGGGAGCGGTGTGTTTGGCGGCGGTTGCCCTGTTTGCTTTGGTGATGTACAGGAATAGGTAAATTCTTATTCATTCTTAGCGTTTCAGTCAATTTTTCTAGCTTTAATCAATTCATGTGTTGTGGTAAATGGCGAAATAAAGAGATGATTTCCACTCAATATCATCGAAGAGAACAAGTACCGAGGGTAAGTTAAGGAAAAGTGTATTCAATTGACACTTGTTCCCTTCTTTTTCTAAAATCTGTCAATTTTCGAGAACTACCTTAATCTATAGCCTCGAGTTTTTGTCAAATCTATTTACTTTTTAGCTTTTGGTATCATTTGTTAACCCAGATCAAAAGTGGATAGATTGGCTTTGTTAAAGCAGATTTTAATAGGTTTGCTAAAAGATAGGTTTGCTAAAAGAGCAAAGATTACGGTAGTAGATTGACACGCTTTAGAAAACGATAGAAAACGATTTAACGTACCATACTCTTTCTTTACTCAACAAAAGCATTTTCAGCAAGTGGTGACCGGTGGCCGTGACCGAGAAGACGAATCCTCTTCCCAAACTCCAAGCTCTCCTCGATTCAAACAACGAAGACAGACCTTTCCTCATGTTATCACTTCCGATCTCAATCCAACTCCTTATGTTGATTATTCTGAGGTTTTTTTTTCTTTTTTTATCTATCCATTATTCTTTAGCAAATCACTCAAACCCATCTTCCCAATCGTCCTCCACCCATTCAAACGTCGCAAAGGATACGGTAAGCTTTTTGTTTTATAAAAAGACAGCAATAAGCTCTTGCTATTCTGTATAAATTGCCTTTGTTCAAACCATATTTCAGAAATCGTCATCCAGTCGAGTTGAGTCGTTTACCGCCGCCCATTCAAACACAACGCGAAAGTGCCAATCGGTAGGTGGTAGACATGGGAAAATTCTAATCCGAAACTAATTCCACCTTCGTTTTCTTAGCTGTCGCTTGGCCGATTGCTCTGAAATTTTGTTTACAAGCAGAGAATACCAATTTCTATTTGTAAACAAAATTCCAGAACAATCGGCCAAGAAACGGCCGAGAAAACGAAGATGGGATTAGATTCGGATTGGAATTTCGCTAAAGCTGAAGAGAAAATAGCTACCGTAAATACTGTAATAGTACCCCACCCCCATAATGACGGTGCGGAGTGTTGCGTAGTCTAGCTTTGAACGAGATTTTCTCGCCACTGGTTTATGCTACGATGCGCGCTTAGGTATCAAAAAATAGCTGAGATTCAGGGCTATTTTTTGATACCAAAGACGCACTTTTTGAAAGTACGGGTGCTTTGAAAAAAATGAAATACTAAAAACATTTTCGACTACGCGACTGTACGAGGGAGGTGGGGTACTATTACAGTATTTACGGTATGTGTATTCGAATTTAATACGAAAATATACAGCTCTGAAGTAGCTTTAATACTTTATTTTGCTATACCTTTAAACCATTTGCTTTAAAAATGCTCATAATAAAATGTAGCGATGTTTAATTTTCAGAAGTACCTCTCGTAGTCCATACAATGGTGGGCGAATACATCGTCGATCATTTCACGATTCAGTATCTTCAAATCATGATTCTTTCAATGATTTTGGTGATGATACGGATGATGAGGTTTAAATTAAAATAAGAAATGAGGGTGGGACAAATGCTACCTTTTTTCTGCGCACCTGGACATTTGCGCACCTTTTTTTTGCTGGAAAAGGCCTTAGGCAAGGCCGTAGAGCTTCGAAAATATTTCCATGTAAGGGAATCGTATGCGTAGATTCCGAATTTCGACAAATCACACCTCGCTGACACGTCAAATTTGGGCTAAAAGGCAAAAACTGTGGAAAAGCGTTAAGTTGCGTAGTTTTTGCCTTTTAGCCCAAATTTGACGTGTCAGCGAGGTCTGATTTGTCGAAATTCGGAATCTACGCATACGATTCCCTTCTATGAAAACATTTTTGAAGCTCTACGACCTTTCCTAAGGCCTTTTCCAGCAAAAAAAGGTCGCATTTGTCCCACCCCCTAAGAAACCGTAAATTTATTTGCGATTTAGGATGGATATTTCGAATGAATGAATATTTTGTTGTCTTTTACCAAAATCGATTCACGAATACGGGTTTTTCGTAGAATTTCGTAGAATTTTTTTAATAAATTTTTTGAGTTTTCAGTGTGTTTTTCACAAAAATAACAGCAAACAACCTTTATTTCGCATTTATTTGTTTTTTACCTTTGCTTTTAAACTGGCTAACAGTGGATTGAAATTTAAATTTAAAGCTGAACATTAAAAAAATGAAGTATTTTTTTGGAGATCTTTAAAGAAAAGCATTGATATGAACATGAGAAGAAAGAAAACAAAAAATGCTTTTGACTTGACTGTTTAAGAAGATAGTTTAAGAAGTTATGGACATTTTGTTGGTGGGGAGGGAAAATAAGTGAAAAGAAAAGCACAAATACAAGAAAATACATGAAAAAAAAACCAAAACGAAACGAGCAAACGGAGATCAATCTGGGGAAGAGGAATTGCAATGTAATTGGTCAGAGGAGAAGAAAATGGTTCCCTTATCCGATCTTTCTTATCCAAGTGATCCGGAAGTGGCCATCAGACGGCAATTCGTGTATTGATCGAGAGCCGCCTCGTAGGCTCTCCACAAACGGGGGTATCGCTTTTGAACAGCCAACAAAAGGCGCACGACTTGATCCGATGAAAGATTTGGATCTGTAAATGTTTTTTGTTTAATTTTCAATAAGTTTTGTTTAACTTTTAACAAGTTATGAAATCGGTTCTTTGTTTTTTTTTTTTTAACAAGTCAAGACGGCAATTCTTTTTTTTTAAACTTGCTCTACATTAAGCTAAAAGTTTGATTTAAATCACCTAGAAATTCTTGGTTGAAAACCTGCTTAAATCTAGACTGAAGCTTGTTTTTCATTTTGAGAGCCATAGAAAAAGTTGACGTGTTCTTTGAAGGATTTACTCAGCCGTTTAAAAATCGAGATTGAAATATTGAAATTGAACTTTTCCTTTTTGGGGCAACTTTTTGGGGAAAAGAGAGTGGTGTCAAGAAAAGGGGAAAAATCACCTTTTCTCCTTTTCTTGACACCACTCTCTGTTGGTGGATTCCACTTGAAATCCACCAACTCGATTCCTCCGCCGCTTTCATTTTTCTCTTTCAAATCCACGCTTCAATAACTCTATCTACCGCTTCAGAGAACAACCAACAATATGGATTTGAAGGAAAATAACCTAACGAGATACAGGATCTTTAAAGTTAACACATTGAGAAAGCTAATCAAAATATGATACGGATTTTCAATGTTTGTTCGAAGAAAAACAGATACCGTATTTTCTCTAATAGTAGTGCACCCCGGCGAGCCGAGTTGGTGACTATTTTACGGCTTTCAAAGTTTTCACAGAAGCTCAACACTCAAATCCCCCACAAGATCTCATCGTCAGCTACATTTTCCGACCGCATATCGATAGGTTCTGATAAGCGGTTCTCGAGATTTCGAGCAATTTAGGTCATGCTCAGGGCGCACTACTATTAGAGAGAATACGGTATATGATTTTGAGCATGCTGTAAAATGCGATAACAGCTTGTGCTACCATAAATCAAATCTGGATTGTTGGCCGGGATCCAGGCTATAGGCTTTCCAAGCTTTCACAGAAGCTCAACACTCTAATCCTCCACTAGATCTCATCGTCAGCTACATTTTCCGACCCCACATCGATAGGTTCTGATAAGCGCTTTTCGAGATTTCGAGCAATTTAAGCGACGCTCAGGGTGCACTACTATTAGAGAAACTACGGTAGTTTTATTGTTATTTTGGTTCAAAAGACGTCACTTTACCAAAATAACTTCAAGATATTTGTAAAGAAAGACTAAAAGAAGCAAATTCATAGTCCCATTTATACAAATCTTTAAGTTTCTTTAAGTTGTTTTTGTCTGGGGAAGTTGTCTAGGAGTTCTTTTGTAAAAGTTTTACGACATAGGAGCCGTCATATTTAAAAGTTATCAAAGTAAAAGTATTGAAAATTATTCACAAATCTTCAGTTATTACTTGGCAGTATTTGTAAAATATTTGTAGGCCCCCCCAAATTTTGTTGGCCCCCAAATCCAAAAATTTCTATGAGTTGATTTGGTTGAAAATTCCCAATCTTCACCATCAACATCATCATTTCATCTTTTTCCAATCAACATTCACAAATTTCGCCCTTTTCAATTTCATTCCAAAATTTCTTTTTCTTATTCACCAATTTGGTGAATAAGAAAATAATGAGAAATGAATTTTGACGGACTTTTGACATTTCTTCTTCTTCTTCGTGATAAAGGAAAAGTAGATTTTGTATGATTTTAGCCGAAAAGATGATGTTTTACCCACGAAAATTTATAAGATGATGTCAAAATTAGTGAATTTTGGGAAGAAATTCAATAATGACGGGCAAATGACGTGATTGGAATGATTACGAGATTCAATCAAATAAGGAATCGCTGAGTCATCGGGAATTGGGGGTACAGAAAAGAACTTATTGTCTAAGTAAACAGATATAGGAAAAAGATTAGAGATTCGGTTGTTTGTCATCAAAAAAAAAAATGTTTCTGGGAAAGATGATGATCAACGAGATGAACTTCTTGTGAAATATTGAAGTGTTGAAGGAATTCTTTGATCTGGTAGTCGAGGTAAGTATAGTTAGTGGGTCATCTTAGGCAATTCTTTTTCTAAAGCGTTTCAACTTTTGAAATCTAATCTTTCATCTAACCAATTTGCATTTTGCATTTGTTATCGTAAACAGGATGTTCCAATCGGAGTCTGGGATCATAAGCTAGGCTAGGCAAGGCCAAGATCAAGCTAGACAAGGCCAAGGTCAAGCTAGGCAAGGCCAAGCTGGGCTAGGCAAGGTAAGGCTATGTAAGGCCAAGCTAGGTAAGGCTAGGGTAGATCCAGTTCTGGCTATCAAGTCCAGAGTCCAAGATTGTACATCATAACTTGGCTTGCTATTCCGAACTCACGTTTAGAGTCGAGATTTGAGAGGATTCCTTTAAGAGGATGTTCCCCGCATCCCATATCTGCTTGATCGGTTGCACAAGCGCCATGTACAAGAGAGATCACGAACATCAAACACATCAACGTCGACAGTATTGATGGTATTCTGAAATGAGGATTCGAATAAAAAAAAGCATTGAGTTACGGTAGCTGAAGCGTACTTCTTAAAAAAGTATCGTTTTCCAGTAAAACTAAAAACTTAAAGACAAACCTCCTCAGGAAGCCGACAGAGAACGGGAATTTTCGATACTGTGTACAGTTGTTTCTCGTATTCATCGTATCAACTGACTGTTGATGAGCTTGATCATTTGAATGATCGGGTGAAGATTGAATCATTCTTCTTCTTCTTCAATCAAATAACCAGTTTTGAAGAAATATTTAATAGGGAAGAGGGTGGAAGAATAGGAGAGATAAAAAGAAAAAAACCGGGCTGTCTCCTCCTCTTTTTTTCCTTTACAGGGCTTTTTTTTGTCCCTTTGGGGCCAAGCCGAGAACGAACCCTGAAAAATGAGTTTTTTTGTCATCGAATTCACAAAATTTCAAATTAATTGAAAAATAAAGCCATCAAAAAGCCGATCATATCAATTTTCGAGATCAGATTTCGTTTTTATGAGCAATTTCAAATTGTTATGATGAGAAATCGAGCGCGTGATTAGAACTTGGATCTCGAGATTGATCATTTCGAAATCTTACAAAATTTACGCGTTTTCAGGACAAATTTAGACTAAAAAGGTGGGTAATTTGAAAGTAAATACCGTATTCTCTCTAATAGTAGTGCGCACTACTATTTTTTGAACCCCCTCCTGGACCGCAATACTATTAGAGAGTGCACTACTATTAAAGAGTTTTATCATTTACCAAAGTAAGACAGATATAAGATTTGTTCCAAAAGTTCTTGCAACTCTTTCACGTACTCCTTTGGCTCCTTTTGACATACAGTTGTGGGCTGGCGAGTTGACAATTTGTGTCTTGACAAACAACAAAAAGATGTTTTTGCCCTTTGCACAACAATTTTAGATTTTTTGCTAACTTTTTCATGTGAAGAATAGTTAATAAATGAATAAAAAAGCCTCACTTTAGCTTGCTTGAATAGCTTTAGAATGTCACATAAACATAAAGTCAAAAAGGTTTAGATGAAAAAGAAGCACCAGAAATTCGAATTTTCGTGGGTGCACTACTATTTTTTCAACCCCCTCTCGGACCGCAATACTATTAGAGAGTGCACTATTATTAAAGAGAATACGGTATGTCCAAAATTGAAAGAGTTATTTTGGAAAGAGAAAGTGCTCAAGGGGAAACAGGAAAAAAATATTTCAACTGAAAACTATAAATAAAAATATGAAAACGTAACTAAACTATGAAAATAGACACAGAAAAGTGCACAATTCAAAAGGAAGAAATAGAAGAAATAAGAGAGAAGAATAAGAAAAAAGAAATAAGTTGTAAAGAATTTTTTTTTTTGAATTAATCAATCCAGACAATATGAGAAGATTCAAATTTCATTTCAAAATGATTCAAAAGCTATTTGCTTACAATTATTTTATAGAAATGAGCGTCGAATCGTCGAATCGTCGAATAAAAATATTCCCTCTAGAAACAAATCCCCTCTAAGCTCTAAAAAAATGAAAATCTAAAGATAAAGAAGTGATGGGAGAATGAAAATATGGTGGATTTCATTTAAATTCGATGTTAAGCTCAAAGATCTTTAGCTCTTTTTGTTGATTTGTCTTTTTGATTTCTCCTAAACAATCCACTTTCGAAGGGGTAGGCTAATTTCCGCAAAAAAAAAAGATTTTTACACAAAAAGGCGGATTATGGTATTTAGTGCATTCTAGGGGATAGGCTACTTTGCGCCAAGTTTTTTTGCGCAACTAGGTCTTTTGCGCAACTCGGTCGCGCACTAAAATGCACTAAATACCGTAATCCGCCTTTTTGCGCAAAAATCATTTTTTTTTCTTGCAACTTTAGCTATTTTTATTCTACTTTTTCTGTTCTATTGATTCTAATGATAAATAAAGTTGAATTCTATAGTGAAACACTAATTGCTTTAAAAACAATGTAGAAAGCAAAACTAGGAGTAGAAAATTGCGCAAAAGTAAGAAGAAAAAATAGCTAAAGTTGCAAAAAAAAAAAGATTTTTACGCAAAAAGGCGGATTACGGTATTTAGTGCATTTTAGGGGATAGGCTACTTTGCGCCAAATTTTTTGCGCAACCGGGTCATTTGCGCAACTCACCATAACTTTCTTCTAAGCAAGCCAATCTTTATGATTTTTCTGTCATTTTGTATATCTCGATAAGTGTAAAAAAAAATGACACCACAAATCATAAAGATTGGCCGACTTCGAAGAAAGTTATGGCGAGTTGCGCAAATGACCCAGTTGTGCAAAAAATTTCGCGCAAAGTAGCCTATCCCGCTTTCGAAAGCTACCGTAATCTATCCACCTTTTTTCATGAAACCAAATTATATAAAAATAGATTTATTGTATTTTACGGTAGTTTTAGTTGACGCCTTTTAGAAAAATCATTTTTCAACTCAACCAAAACCAAGTTGAGCACTTTGAATGGCTTCATTTTTCTTTGAATTCTTTTTCTTTCGAATTCCCTTTTCAATTACCTATTTGAAATGTGAATGAAAGTGTAAAACTCTCTGTTTTTTTGATTTAATATTGGAAAGTGAGTCTTACAATTGGAACAGAAAGAAAAGGAAAAGAAATTGAATTGATTGTCGGCAAGATTTTAAAGTTTATGCGAGGAAATTGGTAAATGACGCGTCACTTTTCGAAAAAAAAACCGATCAATGGAAAATGAAAGAAAAATGAAAGAAAAAAGGAAACTTCTTTCAAACGCAAAACCGACTAGATTTCTTGATAGTAGTGCACCCCGGCGAGCCGAGTTGGTGACTATTTTACGGCTTTCAAAGTTTTCACAAAAGCTCAACACTCAACAAGAAAAATGAAAGATGACGAAAAGTTTCAATTTCAGAATTTCAAAACTTTTCAAGATTTCAAGTTCTAAAAAATTTTTTTCGTTTCAAAGCGAAACTGAAATGTTTCGGCTGAAATTGCAAAAGAAAAATCGGAAAATGTTTGGAATGAAAAGCAACAACAAAAACAAAATTCTTTTCATATATTTGAAAAGAAATTGAAACATTTCTCAAATTTATTAATCATTTTTATATATATGCTTTATTCATGGGACGAATAGAAGCGAATCAGATAATCATAACTGCATATAACATATTGCCACAATACTCTCACCGAAAAAAGAGAGAAAACTAAAGATATAAAAAGATAAAAAGATGCGAAAACTAAAGATAGTACAGTAAGAGTACAGTTAGGAAACACAGATACAAAAAGATTAAATATAGAGCAGATTTGACATGGCAATAAGATCTAATTCGTTCATTTAAAAAAAAAATTTATGAGAAAAATAAGAAGAAATACGCTTAAGAATGAAGAATTCTTTCAAATTAAGCAAATTATTTAATCATGACTCATAAAAGCATAGAAAATTTGATTTTTAGAAGCTTTTATATAGCTTTAGAGCTAATTTAGAACCTCATTTCAATGATTGATTGAAGTGAGCGTCTAAATTGATGATAAAAGTGCATTGAGATCGGGAAATCATTCAACGGAATGACGTACAATCAAAAGAATAATTACATGGATGGAAAGAAAAGGGATAAAAAGAAACAAGGAACAATTCCCAATTTTGATCGAGTAGAAGGGGAAGCTATGGGGAGCGGAGGGGGGAGAGTAGCTCCACCGCGAGGACTCCTCTACCCTTGCCAGCTTCCGCCCACCTCTTCACCCTCTAACTCTAACTGGTTGAGATCATAGCCACCTTACCCTCTTCGTCCCTTTACCTTGACATCATTCTCTTCACGATTTTTTTCCCTTCTTGTCCAAAATGGAATAAATAGAATCACTTGTGACTTGTGAAATTTTCTTTTTCTAGGCAGTGTCTAGCCACCTACAAAGAGCAAAGATCAAGTAAAATAAAAACGCAGATAGATCCAAGATCGGGTAAATAAGAACAGTTGCTGATATTTGCTGTGACTGTGAGCGCTAGAGTACCGCTACCGTAGCCTATGAGTCGATTCAACCGTAACCCGAACAATCTACCGCTCAGAATCTAACAATCGAACAATGGTGTTAACTAGGGCATGCTTCGAAATTACCTTTTCTCTTTAGAATGAGATTAGTACTAGCTGGTAGCTTGACGACTTGATATAGTACTATTTGACGGTGAATTAGTAATACTAAACTTGAAAATCCGAGCTATAACATGATCGTATCTCATTTTCAAAGGAAATTAAAATACAAAGCAAAAATCAAAGCAGAAATTAACAGAACATTTAATAAACTTATTGTTTTTCTTAAAGATTCAAAAGTTTCAAAAATCTTTTCAAAAAAAAACTTGAATCTTGACTCGGAAAGGGTGAGAGAAACTCTCACAAAATTATCCGCTGACATGCAAAGAAATGATGATACTGAGTGAAGGGGAAAAGGGATAAGTTTAAAATAGATTTTGACGCAAAAATAAATATAAGATTTATAAAAACTCCACAAGTTTAGTCATTGCAGAGAGCAAAATGTCGTGTTTTTCGAATACCGCCTTGGATTGGTGGCTTAAAAGCTCGCTACCGTGATCCATAAGCTAATATTACCGTAACCTTGAGTGTACCCTGTAATCGATTATAACCAGAGAGTACCCTGTAATCGATCGTAACCAGAGAGTACCCTGTAATCGATTATAACCAGAGTGTACCCTGTAACCGATCGTAACCAGAGAGTACCCTGTAATCGATCATAACCAGAGTGTACCCTGTAATCGTAACCAGTATTACCGTAACCGCGTAACTCAGGTTAAAAAAAATTACCGTTCGATCAACTGAGAGATATTGCAAGGATCATCTATCGATTACCGTAACCAGATTATCTTGTATCAAAATCAAAGCCAAATGGTTACCGTAGTACTTTAAAGGATTTAGTCCTTGGTTGTTCCAAAAGCAAATTTTTACATGATCTACCTTTTCTACAGGCCTGGCTTCGCCTACAAAAGTTTTTTAGCCAAAAGTCAGGCCTAGGCCTGAACCTGGCTTCTCGAGGACTCTAGCTTACAGATTCTAGGGTTCGAACAACCCTAATTAAGTCTATTGCATGAAAACAAGCCAACGTAACGGTAACCAGAGCACATTTAGCAAAAAGAAACAACAGAAACAAAAATGAGCAAATAACTTACCAAAAAATAGCTTTCACTTCTTTGAAATCAA